TAAGTGCTAAAGTTATGGCAACAAAAGTTATATCAAAAGCAAATATTAATTAATTAATTGTTTTTTGATTCATTTTCTAATCCGTTTTTACTATTTATCTAAATAAATAATAAAAGCTTTATTTAGATATAGATTCATTTAGAGTTGCTTTTGTTTAGATTTTAGCTGAATACCTAGATTTTAGCTGAATACCTAGATTTTAGCTGAATACCTAGATTTTAGCTGAATACCTAGATTTTAGCTGAATACCTAGATTTTAGCTGAATACCTAGATTTTAGCTGAATACCTAGATTTTAGCTGAATACCTAGATTTTAGCTGAATACCTAGATTTTAGCTGAATACCTAGATTTTAGCTGAATACCTAGATTTTACCGAGCGAAAACCAGATTTTAGCTGAAACCTAGATTTAGCTGAAAACCTAGATTTTAGCGAATACCTAGATTTTAGCTGAATACCCAGGTTTACCTGAATACCTAGGTTTACCTGAATACCTAGGTTTACCTGAATACCTAGGTTTACCTGAATACCTAGGTTTACCTGAATACCTAGGTTTACCTGAATACCTAGGTTTACCTAAATAAATCTAAATCTAAATAAAGCAAATCTAAATCTAAACAAAGGCAAATCTAAATAAATCTAAATCTAAATAAAGCAAATCTAAATAAAGCAACTCTAAATGAATCTAAATCTAAATAAATCTAAATCTAAACAAAAGAAAATCTAAATACACAGTAAATCAAAATTACTATTATCTAAATAAATAGTAACTTATATCGGAAAGTATTCGCAATTCAATCCAGAAAAGCTCAACAAACAGACTTATATCAAGTTTTGGTAGGATTACATACCGTAAATACTGTAATAGTACCCCACCTCCATAATGACGGCCGGAGCATCGCGTAGTCGAGCTTTGAACGAGTTTTTCTCGACACTAGTTTAAGCTATAGTGCTCGTTTAGGTATCAAAAAATAGCTGAAATTCAGGCCTATTTTTTGATACCAAAAACGCATTTTTTGAAAGTACGGGCGGAAAGTACGGGCGCTTTGAAAAAATGAAATACTAAAAAAACTTTTGCGACTACGCGACTGTACGAGGGCATAAATATAAATAAATAAACAAGTATCTATTCATATCTTTGCTTAGAAACAAACAATAAAACTTATAAACAAAAAGAAGGAAATTTTAAGAAAAAAAAATTCCATTTCTCGAAATATTTTCAGAGAGAAAAACGTGTGAAAATTCTATTCTTAAAGAAAAAAAAAAGACAGAAACATTTGAAATTTTGAAAATTTTAATCAAAACTTTCAGAAAACATTAAGCATTTTGAAATTTTAATCGTTTGGAGTGATTCTTTTTAAAAGATTTTTTAAAAAATCTAGGATTTGGTGACTTTTCTTTCAAATGTACAAGTACAGAAATCAAAAAATTTTAAAAGTGATGTTCAAAATGATAAAAACTTGTTGTTTTACTGTAGTTTTGAATGATTTTGATTGGAAAAATGGCATTTTTTTCATTTTTCCCCTTTGCGCCTTAGAAATCAAATTCAAGCTAATGGTTTGTGCTTAAATCTGCTTAAACGCATCCCTTCTTAAGCATTCAATTCTTCCAACCAAAATTCTTCCAACATTTCACCTGCACCAAGCTAATACTTTGTGCTTAAACGCTTAAACACACTCAACGATGCTTAAACGCATCCCTTCTAAAGCATTCAATTCTTCCAATGAAGCATTGCATTGAATCTAAGCATTCAATTCTTCCAACCAAAACTCTTCCAACATTTCATCTGCACCAAGCTAATACTTTGTGCTTAAACGCATCCCTTCTAAAGCTTCTAATATCTGCTTAAACGCATCCCTTTCTAAAGCATTCAATTCTTCTATTTTTCTATAAAATGAAGATTTCAGTGCGCTAGATTGAGTGAATTTAGAGATTTAACCATATAAAAAGCCTTAAATCTGACCTTTTTTTGTTTTTTCATTTATTCTCTTTTTCATTGATTTCATTCCCATTTCCATTCCGATTTCCATTCCCATTTCATTCCGATTACCTTAAATCGACATTTTTCTAGATAAAACTAAGAGAAAATAGAAAATCTAGCTTTTTCTATTCTCAAATGATGCTATTTTCAAGTTCAAAATATTTATTAAACTAAAGGCCGTTGCTAAAGGCCACTAAAGGCCACTAAAGGCCCTTGCTAAAGGCCGCTAAAGGCCGCTAAAGGCCATTAAAGGCTATCTAAATAAATAGTAACTAATCGTTTGGAGTGATTCTTGTTTTGAAATTTTTTTTTTGAAAAATCTAGAATTTGGTGACTTTTCTTTCAAATGTACAAGTACAGAAATCAAAAAATTTTTAAAATGATGTTCAAAATGATGTTTAAAATGATAAAAACTTGTTGTTTTACTGTAGTTTTGATTGATTTTGATTGGAAAAATGGTTTTTTTTTTCATTTTTTCCCTTTGCGCCTTAGAAATTCATCTTTTTGAGTCGGCTTTTAGGAAAAAAGAAACCATCAAATTCCTTTAGCATTGGAATTTGAAAGAATTTATAGATTAAATATTTAGTTCTTATGTACTTTTATGTAGTTTTAAGTACTTTTAATGTACTTTTAAGTACTTCTATGTACTTTTATGTACTTTTTAGGTACTTTTTATGTACTTCTCTGTACTTTTTATATATTTTAAGTACTTCTAATTACTTTTAGGTACTTTTGTGTGCTCTTTAAGCACTTTTATGTACTTTTAATGTGTTTTTAAGTACTTTTAAAGCACTTTTAGGTACTTCTAAGTACTTTTAAGTCCTTTTATGTACTCTTTAACTACTTTTTAGATGCTTTTTATGTATTTTAAGTACTTTTGGGTACTTTTATGTACTTTTCATGTACTTTTATGTACTTTTAGGTACTTTTTATGTAGTTTAAGTACTTTTAGGTACTTTTTAAGCACTTTTAAGTACTTTTGAGGTACTTTTCAAGTCCTTTTATGTACTCTTTAAGTACTTTTAAGTAATCTAAGTACTTTTATGTACTCTTTAAGTACTTTTTAGATACTTTTTATGTAAATGAATGCACCAGAAGCGAAATTGCAATAGAATTTAGCATAAAGTACACCGAAAGAACGAGAAAACAGCAAACAAATAAACAACAGCGCAAGTAAAACTTGAAAAAAAGCAAATTAGTATTAGAGTAGGTTAGAGTATTAAATTAGTACACTACAAGAGCTGTTTTTACAGAGTTTAGCACAAAGTACACATTGTCTAGTATTTTGTGAAGCTTTTTTGACAAGTTCTGCTCAAAAAATGGCCCAATAAAGAAAAGAAAAGTCGCTCTTTCGTTTAAAAATGCGAAAATTTTTGACTAAAAACCACAAAAATGAGCATAAAAATGGCCAGTAATCGCTAAAATGATGATAATCTTTTCCTTTTTTTTCGAGTTTATTTTAGGAATTCTCGGAAGATTTTTGATCCGATTTGGTATTGGTGTAAAATTTTCGTTTTCTAAACCGGAAATTCGAATCAGCTTCGCATTTTTGAGTGATTTCATATAAGATTGTCGTGTCATGATGATTTTATGATGAAAAGTTTCGTTTATCATGAATTTTTATCGAAAAACATTTATCATAATATAAGAAAATGAAGAAAAAGAAGGAAATGAAGGAAATATCGTTGCCTAATGAGGAAATGATGTGAGGAAAGGGAAATGGAAGAAGGGAAATGGAAGAAGGGAAAAGGAAGAAGGGAAATGGAAGACGGGAAAAGGAAGAAGGGAACAGGAAGACGGGAAAAGGAAGAAGGGAAAAGGAAGAAGGGAACAGGAAGAAGGGTAAAGGAAGAAGGGAACAGGAAGACGGGAACAGGAAGACGGGAAATGGAAGAAGGGAAATGGAAGAAGGAAAAAGGTCAACAGTTAGTTTAAAGCATGGATTGGTTACTGTACTTCATGCCACTTTTACAGTAGCTCAAGTAGTTACAGTAGCTCAAATAGTTACTGGAACATCACCGTTGACCTCTACATAAAATCTAAGTCTTACGGTAGTTCTAGGGTGTTTTAAAGAAAGCTTTTAAAGCTTTCTAAAAAGTCGAAGGGAAAAGGAAGAAGGGAAAAGGTAGAAGGGAAAAGGAAAAAGGGAAATGGAAGAAGGGAAAAGGAAGAAGGGAACAGGAAGAAGAGAAAAGGAAGAAGGGAACAGGAAGAAAAAGAAAAAACGAAAAAACGATGGGCGGAATTGAACCAGCGAGGGTTTACTGGGGATCTGATTAGGAGAAAAGCTCAATAACCACTTGACTAGATTAGAAATAGTTATCCTAATGAAAAGAGCTTTTTTGACGGCTGTAGTCCAGTTGCTAGACACAGTAACAGTACAGATTACTGTAGCATCGACTATTTGACGCTAGAAAGATTAGATGAGAATTGAGACGGATTACGGTAGCTAGGACACACTTTAGATCAGCTGGGCAACAAGCTCACTAACCACTTGATTAGATTAAGACGGATTACGGTAGGTAGAACTACGGTAGGTAGGATTACGGTAGGTAGGATTACGGTAGGTAGAATTACGGTAGCTTGTTTGCTTGAGCTAGCCTTTGTTGTTACACAGCACACTCCAGCTGTGTGCAAAGCACATTCCAGCTACCGTAACCCCTCTTAATCCTATGATACCTTTGAAATCTAAATCTAAAACTAATCTAAAGACGAATTTCGTAAATCTTTAGTATTTCTGGCCAATTACAATACTCTTTAGGGTTGTCTGGGTTACTGTAACGGCTAAAAACTGGACTAGAAGTCTTTAAGAAGCTTTAAAGTCTAATTTCCTGGAAACTAGACTTTCAATCTAATCAAAAACTAATCGAAAACATTGTCGGATCATAAAATAGCTTATTATTCTAATAGAAAAGCCTTTTTCTGCCTTCTATTTGAATATTATTGTATATTATTGATGAATATTGATCAATATTGATCAATATAAAGATCTAGTTCTCATCTGGTTCTCATCTAGTTCAAGTGGGCACATCTAAAGCAGTTTCGGCTCTCGGCGCCCTCACAACATCTTGTGTCCACGGTTGTGATTCCCAATTCATTATATGAAGGACATCTTGCAATTGAATTGTGTCCGAGGTGAGGTAGACAAGATTCTGAACGACGTTTAGAATAATAGAGACGATTTCTTGTATACCGTCAAAGCAGAGACGAGCAACATGATTCGAGCGATTCTCAGCGCGATTTTCGAGTTGTTTTCCCCGCCCTGGAATTGTAGTTTCATCAGATAGTAGCTACAGTGGCTACAGTCATATAGTGGCTACAGTAATCCAGTGTTACACTCGACTACACTCGGCTACACGAGTTACAGTAAGCCCATTTCGTTTGTGTACACCCTACCGTATCCGTTTCCTTAAGGGAGGATCAAAAGGATTGATGTCTATTAAAAAGGAACCTAATACCATAATCTTAGTTACCCAAGTCCATATAAGGTCTCCATAAAGCTACAGTAACCCTTAGCTACAGTCTCCCAGTACTACAGCCAGCTACAGTAATCTCTAAGTACCTAAAGCTACAGTAACCCTTAGCCACAGTCTTCCAGTACTACAGCTAGCTCCATATCAGGTCTCCATAAAGCTACAGTAACCCTTAACTACAGTAACCTTTATCTACAGGCTTCCAGTGCTACAGCTAGCTACACTAGTCTCTAAGTACCTAAAGCTACAGTAACCTTTAGCTACAGTCCTCCAGTACTACAGCTAGCTACAGTAATCTCTGTGAACTACTGTACTCCCGTTCCAGCAAGCTACAGTAATCCATTACTGCAAAAAGCTACCGTACTACAGTACTTGCGCTACAGTAACCTTTATTAGCAACAGTCCTACAGTAGCTCAAGCGGTCTGTAAGGGTACTGTAGCTTGCTACGGTTAACTACAATTAGCAGTAACTTACAGTACTGCAAAATTAGATCTTAAACCTTTTTCAGCTTTTGTCCAATATGATGATGAAGCAATCGTACGTAACGATTCGCGGTTTGTTTCACGTGTTCCCGTCCCTCCAACGATAGTACCAATTCTAAAGGTTTATTGAATAAAATCGACTTCTAAATCTATTGGGTTGTCCAGTTATGAATGCGCGTTTTTTACTATTTTGTAAATTTCTCAAGATAGCGAAATCAAGAAAAAGATATATATGAGTATTATTCGAAAGCTGAAGATCTCCTCTACATTTTGATATAAAAAGTTTTTGAATTTGTTCAGCTTTTGGGCAAATTGACTGCACAGAAGAAGAGGTGGCCAAAAAATGGATCAAGTTTTGGCTCTCAGGACTCAGAGCCAGCTCTCGGGACTCAGAGCCAGCTCTCAGGACTCAGAGCCAGCTCTCAGGACTCAGAGCCAGCTCTCGGGACTCAGAGCCAGCTCTCGGGACTCAGAGCCAGCTCTCAGGACTCAGAGCCAGCCTCGGCTCAGGCCAGCTCTCAGGACTCAGAGCCGCTCTCGGGACCAGGCCAGCTCTCGGGCTCAGGCCAGCTCTCGGGCCAGGCCGCTCTCGGGACTCAGAGCCAGCTCTCGGGACTCAGAGCCAGCTCTCGGGACTCAGAGCCAGCTCTCAGGACTCAGAGCCAGCCGAGGTGCCTTTGGATCAAGTTTTGGCTCCGCTCAAATTGAGTTAACCGTTTGATGTTTGGCCAATAGATATATCAATACAACTTTTTTTTAAAATATAACAATTTCAGAGCATCTCTACTTTTCTTTTCTTTTCTGGGCGGTTATTTTAGACCATAAAACTTGAGGAATAGCTAAGCTGAGATGGGTTTTTTTTTGGAAAACGACCTCTCCCTTTGTGCAGTGAATTTCCCAAAAAGTTGAATGAATTTCAAAACTTTTTTATTCCAACATGTAGAGGAGATATTCAGCTTTCGAATGATATATAACACTCATATACATCTGTTCGATATCTTGAGAAATTTCAAAATAGTAAAAACGCGCATCCATAACTGGACAACCCAATATATCTAATTCTATATTTAAATCTATATCTAAATCTAAATCTATATCTATATCTATATCTATTTCTATAAGCTTTATCGAAAACTTTAAAACTAAAGCTAATCTACAATCATCTACAAATCATCTACAAATCATCTACAAAACTAGACTACTACTAATCGCAAATAACAAGCCGTCTACCTCCACCCGGTGAGCCGGAAATGGCACCTAAACGAGGATAAAATGGTCATTTATTGGAATTTATTGGAATATGTTAATGTTTTAGATGTTTTTTAGATGTTTTTGATATATTTATATAACCGTAATATTCTTCTTTTTAACCTTTTCCATATTAAAAAATTCTATTTTTAATTTACTAGAGATAAAAAGCCTTTTATTACTAGTTTATATCTAAAACTATACTTATCTAGATCAATTATTTAAATAATAACTACCGTAGATACTTTAATAGTACACCACCCCCATAATGACGACCGGAGCATCGCGTAGTCTAGCTTTGAGCGCGTTTTTCTCGACACTGGTTTATGCTATAATGCTCGTTTAGGTATCAAAAAATAGCCCTGAATTTCAGCTATTTTTTGATACCTAAACGAGCATTATAACATAAACCAGTGTCGAGAAAAACACGTTCAAAGCTAGACTACGCGATGCTCCGGTCGTCATTATGGAGGTGCGATACTATTACAGTATTTACGGTATTTCTTTTCTAGATACCTTCCGAGAAAACGATAATCGGCAACATGAGGCATTGCTCGGTTTCATCTAAATCCAACTCATGCAACGGTTCGACTAATGACGTCATCATTCTTTCAGAAGCACCTCTGAATTCAGTAAATTATTATGGGGAATATGCTATGGAAATAGCTGGTAAAGGTTTGGGGTTAAGAATAGCAAATAGCTGGTAAATTGTAGCTAGAAAGGCTAGAATTCTAGCTAGGCAGGAATATAGGTAAAAGCTTAGCCAATCTGGATTCTCAAAAAGAAAAAAAGGAAGCAAAGGTAGGGGTTGAACCTTTGATCTCTTGCTTGGCTTTTGCTTCTAGTCCTTCAGGTCCTTCTTGAGTCCTTCTCAAGTCCTTCTTGAGCAATTACTCTAACCACTGAGCTATCGAGTAGCTTAGCTTTCAAGGAAAGAGAAGGAAGAAGGAAGAAGAAAGGGAAGGAAAGGGGGAAGAAGAAAGAAGGAAAAAGGAAAAAGGAAAAAGGTCAACAGTTAGTTTAAGGCTTGGCTACTGTACTTCATGCCTTGGCTTCAAGATTGGCTCAACGTCAAGATTGGCTACTGTACTTCATGCCACTTTTACAGTAGCTCAAGTAGTTCCTGTAACATCACCGTTGACCTCTACATAAAGTCTAAGTCTTACAGTAGTTCTAGGATGTTTTAAAGCCTTTAAAGCTTTACTAAGATCTTTAAACATCTCACCTTACGTCAGGGATGCATTGTTTAAGGATATCTCGTGGGAAATAGGCTCCATTTGCATAGCAAACCTGAAAATTTCAACTATTAGCTACAGTACTCTAGAAATAGTACAGTAGATCAAAAGAGAGTTCCCCAATTTTCTCACTTGATAAAGGGAAAGTCTCTAAAATTTTCTAAAAGGTAAACAATTTGGAAAACGAATCTTTCCTTTAGATTTTCTTTTAGATCTTCCTTTAGATCTTCCTTTAGATCTTCCTTTAGTTTCTATTAATATTGGATCAAAGGCTTCATTTGCAGGTCTGAAGGATTGGAGAGTTGAAGATTGATTGAAAGATTGATTAGGATTGATTGATTAGGATTAGAGAGTTGAAGCTGAAGGATTGGAGAGTTGAAGCTGAAGGATTGGAGAGTTGAAGCTGAAGGATTGGAGAGTTGAAGCTGAAGGATTGGAGAGTTGAAGCTGAAGGATTGGAGAGTTGAAGCTGAAGGATTGGAGAGTTGAAGCTGAGGTTGGGGTTGAAGCTGAGTTGGAGGTTGGCTGAAGGATTGGAGGTTAGCTGAGGTTGGAGGTTGAAGCTGAAGGATTGGAGAGTTGAAGCTGAAGGATTGGAGAGTTGAAGCTGAAGGACTAGAGAGTTGAAGCTGAAGGATTGGAGAGTTGAAGCTGAAGGATTAGAGTTTTTCTCAAATTGGTTACCTTTTAGAAAATAGATTGTTTACTAGAATATGAGATAAAATTCACTCCTTCACACCCAGCTTTAACCGTCCAATTCCCGCACAACCACCAATAAAACGGATTGAAACGATTTTTCGCCACTTCTAACTGAAATTTGAATTGAATTTTGTAAAGTAAAAGGATATAAGAAATGAAATTTAGTTTTGTACGGAATTTTGGCAATTTCGGCAACTGCTCTATGGCAACTGCTCTATTCTCTGTGATAATAACGTTGCGGAGTGTTACGTAGTCTAGCTTTGAACGTGATATTCTTGGCTTGGCTTGGCTAGATTTAAAGCCGCAATTTCGGCAATTGATTTGACTACTGCTTTCTTAAGGTGTCTTATCTTTTGGTTGTGTTTTGAGTGGTGTCCTTGGTGATTATTGTGATTATTGTGATCTTGTTTTCTCGCTATTCAACTCAATAAAAGCATATACAAATAAGAAACCTGATCAGCGACAGTAAGAACATTAAAATCATGAAAAGCGTGAAGCCAATCAGCGAAAAGAGTGAAATTTCTTCGCCAATCTTGAACAACATCAACAAAAGTAGCTAGACGAGAGCCGGTTGGGGTGATCTGGGAAAACGATTTGTTTGAAAATCATTGAAAATGGCTACTACAGAGATTTAGAGTCTAATCTAGTTATCTAATCTCGCTTCATTTCCCGAATACGGTTGATTGCTTTAAAACATGACCTAGTTACCGTATAGCACACCGTATTTTGTCTAATAGTAGTGGATCCTTAGCGTCGTCTAAATTGCTCGAAATCTCGAGAACCGCTTATCAAAACCTATCGATGTGGGGTCGGAAAATGTAGCTGACAATGAGATCTTGACGATGATTAGAGTGGTGAGGTTCTGGGAAAACTTTGGAAGCCGTAAATAGTGACCAACTCGGCTCACCGGGATGCACTACTATTAGAGAGAATACGGGATTTTTTCGGAAAGCTGCTAAAGCTTTTGAGAGCTCTGAAGGCTTTTGAAAGCTTTTGAGGCACCGTGAAACAGCGCCAATCGACTTTATCGAGCTTTTTAAAGAGATTTCTTAATCGAATTGATACTGGGATACGGTTTTGAGCACGTTTTTTGCTTCAAGAATATTCGAAATACTGAAATCCATCGGAAATCGATCGGACTAAGAGCGAAACTAGCAACTAAATGTGCCCAAAGCATGGAAATGAAAATGATGATTGCAATTCTGCTAAAATTAGCGTTTTTCACCATTACAAAAACATTGTTTTTAGAAAACGATCAATACCGTATTCTTTCTAATAGTAGTGAATCCTGAGCGCCTAAATTGCTCGAAATCTCGAGAACCGTTTGTCAGAACCTATCGATGTGGGTCGGAAAATGTAGCTGGCAATGAGATCTTGACGATGATTAGAGTGTTGAGCTTCTGGGAAAACTTTGGAAGCCGTAAATAGTGACCAACTCGGCTCATCGTGGTGCACTACTATAGAGAAAATACGGTATACTATCGGTTTTTATAGATATTTAGATCTGAAGCAGTTAAAGTTACGATATTAAAGGTGTCAACTGATTGGGTGACTGTAAACTATAGGAAGTAAAGTAAAAAGTAAAGTAAAGTCAAAAGGAAAGTAAAGTAAAAAGTAAAAAGCTAACTGACTGGATTACGATAGCTTGGTCACGCTTTAACACATTCACGACGATCCAACCGTACTTATGATCATTTTTAATGTAGACTCCAGTTTTTAACGACTTTTATTAATTATTTTACAGAAAGTTCTCGGTAACTTTTTCCTCGTTTTCAAGAGAAGATTTAAAGCTATCGAATGACTATAATAGTTTGATTTATCTTTGATTCAAAGATGATTCAAAGATTCAAAGATTCAAAGAGTTGATTCAACACTAAATTCTCAGTAAAACTGTTAACGATTCGTTAACGACGCGAATGTGTTCTCAAAGAATGTTAAAGAATGTGCTAAAGAATGTGTTAAAGCGCCTAAACCGAGTCAAGTTCGAAAAGAGTGACAGTATGTTTGTTGTTTGACAGTAATTGTTTGACAGTAGTTGTTTGACAGTAATTGTTTGACAGTAATTGTACGACTTACCGGTGTCCTTGGAGCGATAAGAGTCGGATTGAAAAAGGCGTTGACAAAAGAAATGGACGCGGTTTGGTTGGATTGTGTTGAAGTGGGTGAAATGAATGGATACGGGTCGCTTCTCGCCAAAACATCTCGAGTCATTTTCACCAAATCGGCAGAACCTCTGAAAGTTGGCATGGGTTTTGTTTCTAGATACACGCTGAACTTTGGTACATACTGTAAAAACTGACTAGAGTCCATAGGAGCGTTACGTAGTCTAACAAAGGAATGATCCAAATTGGGGTTCAGGTTTCGGGGTTTTTTGACTGATTTTTGACAGATTGACAAATGATTGACATTGACAACGAGAGATTGACAACGAGAGATTGACAACGAGAGATTGACAACGAAAGATTGACAACGAAAGATTGACAACGAAAGATTGACAATGACAAACAACAATGACATTGCTAGTGTCGATAAGCCTCTAATAGCTTTAAAAAAGCTATGTTTTTCAAAAAGACGAGAAGGATTGTCGCTGCCGGGAGTCGAACCCACTGAAAGAAGCATCACCGGGTCTTCAATCCAGCCCACTACCCACTAGGCCACCGCCGCTTCCTGACGGGTCCGGTGTGGAGCGCTCTTAATGGCTAGGGGGGTGCTCTTACTCGAAAAATGATTGAAAATCGGCTTTTTTTTGTCACTTTTCAATAATCTTTTTTTAACGATTGGTTAAAGATAGAAATCTATTTAATAGCTCAAAAAAATCCCCTATCTTTCTACTTTAATTTGATCTCTAAGCGTGCAGAAACAAGCATACTAGTGTCAAGATCTGAGTGATTCTTTGAGCGTAAACTTAGACTCGAAACGCTGCTATTGGGGCGGTTCTATTAGAGTTTTTACGCTAGTAACCCAAGCGGAAAGCTATACAGAGTGAAATTAAGGTTCAAAACTCGCTGCCAGGTAGTGAAAAGTGATAGAATTTAAATATATTCACCTTGAATAATCGATTTCTGGAGTGGGCAAAAGCTCAAACTTTGACAAAGCGGCTGAGGCTTCAGTTTGCGACTCAGAGTCACACATTTCTGGTGGAGTGATGCTAAAATGGATATCGTAATGGTAATTGAAAGAGATTTGGGTAAGATTTGGTGGTTTTGGTGATAATTCTCGAGTTTTCCCCCTTACCGTCCATCCTCTTCATCATAGTCGAGTGCCTCGCCGATTCCATCCTTTTCACGTTCGCTTTGAACCGCTGAAATAAAAGAATTTTAAGCATTAAACTCATTTATTTTACTTATTTATTAATATTTCATTTAAAATCTAACTATATATAACAAAAAAAAAATGTTTGTCTGTTTATCGCAGACGCGACGCTTCTATTTACACCCAACAAATCTCAGCCGTTCTTGGATCGATTTGGCTGAAAATTTGAGGGCAAATAGAGAATTGAAAATAAAGGTAAGTTTATTTTGAGGAAATTGAATTAAATTGGAAAAAAAAGGTGTGGAAAAAGGAAAAGAATTTGGGAAGCTGAGGGAAGCTGATCAAACGGCTTTAAGCTCTTGAATCACCCTAGTGCACTCCAGGACAGCTAAAAATCTTGATTTCAATGAATTTAGATAATTAGTGTCTATAGGAAAGCGACGAACTCGAACGCGCATTGACTCGGATCTGTTCAACAAGTCCAACTTTGTCCAAAACTCAAAATTAATAAGCCATGCGCTCCAGATCAAATGAAAATGATCAAATGAAAATGATCAAATTAAAATGATCAAATCAAATTGATCAAATCAAATTGATCAAAAGTCCATTGACCTACAGTTTCCTCCAAATAGACTTTATAGTTCCTTTATAGTTTCTGTTTGGTTACTTTATAGTTCCTTTATAGTTCCTATTTAGTTCCTGTTTGGCTACTCTATAGTTCCTATTGAGTTCCTATTTGGTTCCTATATAGTTCCTTTATAGTTCCTATTTGGTTCCTATATAAGTCCTTTCATTTTTCTATCATTTCAAGCCAATTTCAAGCCTGTTTCCAAATAAATTCAAGTGTGTAAAAGCTAGTTTCTAATTCTACAAAGAATTCCTATAAAGAAATCTTATAAAGAATTCCTATAAAGAAGTTCTATAAAGAAATCCTATAAATAAATCCTATAAAGAATTCCTATAAAGAAATCGAATAGATCATCCACCAGGTGATCCTAAAAATTTGGCTCAAACTTTTTGGCTCAAAATTTTTGTGCTCTATCTTTTTTCTATTGACATTAACATGGGATTTCTGTGCCTAAATCGGCTTTTTGTAAAGCCGACTTTGCGCTCCCAATAAGATCCCAGTGCTCCCAGAGCATTTCAGTAAGATTTCAGCAACCTTTTCTAGAAAAAGAATTGATTTTTATGATAAAGTAAACCGTAATAAGTGAAATAGTACAATAAAATGCTACAGTACAAACACTACAAACATTTAGAAATGTACTTTTTAAAGTTAAACTTAGTTATTCTGTAATCGTTTTTTTTAAAATAAAATTCTCTTTAAAAAAAACCTCTTGGATTCATTCCGGCTACAAAGCATTGCTTTAAACGACACGATCGACAAACGTTTCGATGCTCTGAATGTTCATTTGTTTGTTGGTTTGTTTGTTGGTTTGTTTGTTGGTCTGTTTGTTGGTTTGTTTGTTGGTTTGTTTGTTGGTCTGTTTGTTGGCTTGTTTGTTGGTCTGTTTGTTGGCTTGTTTGTTGGTTTGTTTGTTGATTGGTTTGTTGATTGGTTTGTTGATTGGTTTGTTCATTTGTTTGTTCATTTGTTTGTTGATTTGTTTTTTGGTTTGTTTGTTGGTCTGTTTGTTGGTTTGTTTGTTGGTCTGTTTGTTGGTTTGTTTGTTGGTCTGTTTGTTGGTTTGTTTGTTGGTCTGTTTGTTGGTTTGTTTGTTGGTCTGTTTGTTGGTTTGTTTGTTGATCGGTTTGTTCATTTGTATGTGAATTTCGTTCTTAATTGAATATCTCTATAGAATCACCTTTAGCAATTGCACATTTCCCGTCGAAACGGCAAATATACTGTCGATTGTTCCAAACAGATCGACGAAAAAAGCCTAAAAAACAATTGTACAGTAGCTTTATAGCTAAAAATTGTACAGTAGCTTTGTAGCTAACAATTGTACAGTACCTTTGTAGCTAACAATTGTACAGTAGCTTTGTAGCTAACAATTGTACTATAGCTTTATAGCTAACAATTGTACTATAGCTTTATAGCTAACAATTGTACAGTACCTTTGTAGCTAACAATTGTACTATAGCTTTATAGCTAACAATTGTACTATAGCTTTATAGCTAACAATTGTACTGCACCTTTGTAGCTAACAATTGTACAGTACAGTATAAAACAAAAATCTCTATAGTTTTTTTTAAACATCCCTTTCTTCTACCATAATCTAATCCAAATTTTTAACGAATTTTTCTGATTTTTTGAGAATAAAGAATAAAAGATATAAAAAAGATATAAAAATTTAAATTGAAAGATATAAAAAGTGATAAAAATGAAGACAAGATTACGGGGAAACGTTTTAGAAAATGATTTCAATTAGTCTACCTTTACATCCATTGCACGCACTCACGCCATAATGTTTCCCGAAAGCTGTATCACCGCAAACAACACAACATAGTTGATTTATCGATGATTTTCGACGACCACTCTGAATGATAATGTTGATTTGTTCATTGAAGTTTAATTGATTGATTGATTGTGTTCACAAGTTTGATTAAAAGAATCCCTTTCTTGAATATTATGTGGCAAAAATGGTAGTTAGCCGAAGAGAGGCCTAATCCTAAGCCTTAGCCTAAGCCTTAGCCTAAGCCTAAGCCTTAGCCTAAGCCTAAGCCTAAGCCTAATCCCAAGCCTAAGCCTAAGCCTTAGCCTAAGCCTAAGCCTAATCCCAAGCCTAAGCCTAAGCCTAAGCCTAAGCCTGAGCCTGAGCCTAATCCCAAGCCTAAGCCTAAGCCTAATCCTAAGCCTAAGCCTCATTCGAGAGCTTGTAAAATGAGTTACATGACTCCAATCGAGAAGTTCTTTATAGAAAAATGATGCCAAGATAAAAATGAAGACAAGATTATTTTTATAAGGCTTTATTTTTATAATACTTTGAACAAAAATTTTTGAGAAAGAAAATTGTCAAAATGGTAGCGTGTTGGATAGAGACCGAGTGCTCACTCAAAAATATGTCTCATTTGTGTGACTCGAATTCGAAAGCTTTTTGTATATAAATGTAGCTAAGATCCTGGGCTTTAAATCTCTATATAACACTTAGCACTTTTGAAATAAGTTCAACATTTGCTAGCTGCTTTTAGAAAAAGTTGTGCCAGAACTTTTGGGGACACTCTGTATATTCCGGATAAGTGAACAAATCGAGCTAGGTCAGGGGCCAGATCTAGTAAAACCAGGCCAAGCAAGGCAGGAATTGACTGAACTGCTTGAACCTACCGTAATCCTAGCCTATCGTAACCCTGGCCTGCCGTAATCCTAGCTTGCTGTAACCATAGCCTACCGTAACTATAGCCTACCGTAATCTGTCTACCGTAAGCATAGCCTACCGTAACTATAGCCTACCGTAACCATAGCCTGCCGTAGCCCTGGCCTACCGTAAGCATAGCCTGCCGTAACCTCAGCCTGCTGTAACCATAGCCTACCGTAAACCTAGCCTGCCGTAACCCTAGCCTACCGTAGCCCTATCCTGCCGTAACCCTAGCCTACCGTAACCCTAGCCTGCCGTAACCCTAGCCTGCCGTAACCCTAGCCTACCGTAACCCTAGCCTACCGTAGCCCTATCCTGCCGTAACCCTAGCCTACCATAATCCAAGCATTGTCTACGGATCGGATTTTACATTTTAGAAAACAAGTTCTACTTGTTTTCGAAACTAACTCCTACCTGGATGTAACAAGAACTCAATGTTTAGGCAAAAAGCAAAGGCAAAAGCAAATAAAACTTGTGACTCCAGTCATGCTGACAACCCTAACCCTAACTGTAAACTGGTTTCTCTTGGAAACTTGCTTTTAAAACAATCGTGATCTTAGCTTGGATGTTTTTGTTCTGATTTAGCTAGCGGCTAAAGTGTGCCTCGAGTTACCATTTCCTAGCTAGCCTTACAATAACAAGTAAGTTTTATTTCAAAAACCAATCTGTTTCAAAAATCTTATCTTACAATCTTAAATCTTACTTTGCATCATTTTGATGATAGTATTCGAAAACCCACTTTATTTCCCGATTCATTTGACGTGGAAGCCGACGGAGATGAGGTCATTCTTGAGCTCGAGACTTCACTTCTTCTAGAATTTTATTTAAATCAATTTTTTAAACCTTTAAAATACTTCAGAAACTTCAGAAATAGGTTTCATGGGTTTCTTGCTGCATAAACTGAATATCGATTTTGAGAAAGTGGAAAGAACAAACACAAAAGTTGTTTATTAGCTGTGGAAAAGGGGGACAGAGGTGCACTTTGCCTTAATCGACTACAAGGGGAATTGAGGAAATCATCAAAATAACAAGTAAAGATTTGAAAATAAGCAAAATCTATGAATCTATGAAGAAAGAAAAACGAACTCAGTGCAGTAGAAAGGTGCGTTTAGATTTGAGCACAAAGTACACCAAGATCTAGCAAACTTTGTCTAGAACTTTGTAGCTTTACAATCCAGCTATACAAGCCAGCTTTACAAGCTCTATCAGGCACAGGCTGGTAAACTCCAAATGGGTTCCGTCTATAAAGTGAACCTCTTGGAGAACCTCATTGATCAATGGGCGTTGTGGTTGGACAGGTGGAAGCAGATCATTAACAACGATGGAAATGGGGAAGCATACAAGAAACAGTTGGCGCTTTTTGTAGAACAAGGGAATTCCCGACGAAGAAAACGTTCATATTGATGCCACATTTGGTCCGACTTGCAAAGAAGCACATTGAGCAGGAGAGCTACGATGATGCAATCGATGTTTTGAATCATGTGATTCAGCTTTACAAGCCAGCTTTGCAAGCCAGCTTTACCAGCCAGCTTTACCAGCCAGCTTTGCCAGTCAGCCTTACAAAGTTTTGATTCATAGATTTAGCAAAAAGATATCAGAAATTCTGTTCTTACTGTACATAGAATTAGATTAGGGAATGATCTGATACAAAAAAAAAGTGAAAAAGAAAGAAGAAAACAGGGAACAATTGAGTATTTTATTGGTCAATTCTCTCTCAAAGAGTGAACAAAGTGTTTCGCTGAAAGAGAGGAATCAAAAAGAAGTTAGTTCGAAACACGTTAAGATCAGAATGCAAAGATTTAAAGTGAAAATGGGAAAACGGAGAGAGAGAGAGAGAGAGAAAAGCGAAATTTACGTAAAAGTTTGAGATTTTAGACATGAAAGGAGTAGTTTCAATTTAGTGGGATTTAGTCTTTTTTTTTGAAAGATTTACTGTTTCTGCTCAATTGATAGAGATCAAAGATGCAAAAATACAAAAACTGTTTTATTTTTAAGTTAAAAACTTTCTTTTTTCTAGCAAATTAGCCAGATTTGCAATTTTGATTCATAAAATTTCCAAAAACATCAAAAGATGGGGAAATTGTGTTCTTGGAAAGGTGATAAGAGTCTTGAAAGTGTTAGAGAAAAGGTTTGATTAATGAAATCGTTTCAAAAAGATGACCAATTTAAAAAGATGACCAATTAAACTATCTTCTTCCTTGAAATCTTATAATCTTCTTCCTTGAAATCAAAAAATGAATTCTAGACAAAATCTGAAAGAAAGATTACGGGGTGACCAAGAATTACAACAACTTTTTGAAAAAGTGCCTAGGAAATGTCTAATTTTTTTCAAAAGTGGCAAGTGTTATATAGAGAATTGTAGCCCTAATTCTCGGCAACATTTATCTCCAAAAAACTTCCCGATTGCACTTATACAACTCATTTAACAAGCGCTTGAATGAGCGCTAGTCGACATCTCTCCGGCGAATCAGTTATTTGGCCGCTTTTCTCTATCGAAAATTGTTAAGAAAAGCTTTTCAATATTTCTTCAATGCAAAAATAGCGTTTAACATCACTTAATCACATTAAGAATTCCACTTAACTATTTTGGCTGAACTGGAATAACCAAAAATTTAAGTTGATGTCAAGCTCGTTTTGGAGGAGCAGCGAAAATTGGGTATTTTCGATATTCAGTTCATATGGGTATCTCGTTATATCAGCTTTTCTGGCACCAATTTTGACGTTTTATAGCTCATCCTAAAGCTGAATTCAAGACGGATCGATTGGTAAAAACCGTTTTGAGATATCTCTTTTCTAAAAGTTTTTACAGCTATTTTAGTAAAGGGCGACAGAGCCAAAAAATGGCTGTTTTCACGTTTCGTTAGTTTTCCGTGCAGAAACCTAGGCTAAAAACATGTGTTTCGTGATCAGCGTCAAAAATAACCCCTAGACACGCATTTTCTGAATCTTAGCAATAGACACCAGCGACATTCAACCGAAAACTCAATGCCGCACAGGCTCATCGAGAGATTACTGACGTTTATGGACCCGATTTCGTTTATGGACCCGAAACAGGTGTCGCTGGTGCTCCTCCGATTCAACTTGACACGACATTCCTGAAAAAAGCCTTCTAACAAGCGGCCAAATAACTGATTCGCCGGAGAGATGTCGACTAGCCATCATTCAAGCGTTTGTTAAATGAGTTGTATAAGTGCAATCGGGAAGTTTTTGGGAGATAAATGTTGCCGAGAATTAGGGCTACAATTCTCTATATAACACTTGCCACTTTTGGAAGAAATTAAGCGTCCGACAACTACTTTTCCAAAAAGATTCACTAGCGCTCATTCAAGCTCAATTTTGCTCAAATTGATCATTTAGAAAATGAAAAACTCACGAAGAGCTAGTAAAATCGAAATCAAAATCTCTTTAGTTTGATTTTTTTCTAAAAAATTCTTTTTAAAAGCTTAAAAATCAAATAAAAACAAGTAAAATCGTTATTAAAAGCTTAAAAGTAAAGTAAAAATAAGTAAAATTGTTTTTAAAAGCTTAAAAATCAAATAAAAAACTATTCAAATTGTTTTTAAAAGCTTAAAAATCAAATAAAAACAAGTAAAATCGTTTTTAAAAGCTTAAAAGTTCAAAATCTGGGTACAAAAGAGTACAATTGCGTAGCAAATTTGTCACTAAATGTCAAGTACAAAGTTTCAATTCAAAGAAAAAGGAAAATCAGGGAAAATTATGGAAAATTCGGTGTGTGAGACGGGAAGGAAAGAGGTGGTGCACAGGCAGAACTTTAGGTGAAAAGAGGAAAGAGGAGATCGGCTGGCTCATGCCGTGTCTGTGTGCTGTCCTCTCTTTTTCCCAAAGTCCTTTTTTTCAATCTTTTCCCTCTCATTGATCTCTTCTATCTTTTCATTGGTTCAGCTGATTCTTTCTTTCTTTCTTTCTGCCGTCATTTCCCTCTTTTGGTAAGACAGAAACTAGACCATGGTGACCACAAAAGCACAAGGACATCGTAATTGAGAGCGTTTCCTAAAAGGAAACTATTTTCGAAAACTACTGTAATTTGTTTCCATTCGATTAGCTTAATTTTGGTAGCATTGGCTGATTAGGGAAAGAATTCAAGATGAGCTTTTGTCTGGATCAAGGTTTGTTCCCTGGTGCAGCTTTTTGTTTGTGTCTTTGTTTTGGAGTAACTTCTAGAATTTTGCAGCTAATTGCATTATGGTTTCTTGCAAAAGGAATTGGTTATTCAAGTTAATACACAATATGCTTTTTTCAATTCAATTTAAGTGTTTTGTTAACGATTTTCATCTTGTTAATTTGTTTCGGTTTAAGTTTTTAGTTGTCTTTGGTTGTCTTTAGTTGGCTTTGGCTGTCTTTAGTTGTCTTTGGTTGTCTTTGGTTGTATTTGGTTATCTTTAGTTGTCTTTGGTTGTCTTTAGTTGTATTCAGTTGTGTTTAGTTGGGTTACGTTGTCTTTAGTTGTCTTTGGTTGTCTTTGGTTGTCTTTAGTTGTGTTTAATTGTGTTTAGTTGTCTTTAATTGTCTTTAGTTGTCTTTAGTTGTGTTTAATTGTGTTTAGTTGTCTTTGGTTGGCTTTGGCTGTCTTTAGTTGTCTTTGGTTGTGTTTAGTTGTGTTTAGTTGTCTTTGGTTTTCTTTGGCTGTCTTTAGTTGTCTTTAGTTGTGTTTAATTGTGTTTAGTTGTGTTTAGTTGTCTTTAGTTGTCTTTAGTTGTGTTTAGTTGGGTTTCGTTGTCTTTAGTTGTCTTTGGTTGTCTTTGGTTGTCTTTAGTTGTGTTTAATTGTGTTTATTTGTGTTTAATTGTGTCTAATTGTGCTTAGTTGTTTTTATTTTTGTTTAATTATGTTTAGTTATGTTTATTTTGCATTTAAATGTTGAATTTTAGTATAAATTTGCAAGAAATATGTGCAAATTGTGTAAATAACATTGAAAAAATTAAAAGAAAAATCATAATGAAATTAGCTGCAAAATCCTAGTAGTTACTCCAAAAAAAAAACAAAGCTGCATCAAGGATAAAACCCTGATCCTGTGCGCGGAAGCTTAAAGCATTATCCACTAGGCCATTAATTCAACTTTGCTTCGCTAGGAAGGAGCCTTTTAAAGAATCCGTTTTGACGCCAAATTTTCGATTAAAGTTTTAAATTAAAGTCATTTGACTCTTGGAAAGTCAGATTTTGACTTAAGCTTAGGATTTTTCATACCCGATTCTATAAAATGCACTGAGTGTCCAGACAAAAGTTCATCTTGAGTTCATGCCTTTCTCTAGTGATCCTTGTGATTTCTTTATTGAATGATACCAAAAATTGAGCTTATCGAGTGAAAACTGGCGGGCAGATTACAATAGTTTTCAAAAAATAGGTGACTTTTCGGAAACGGATCAGACGAAAAGATTGCTATACGGTATTGGCTACAATAGCCTGTGTTATCAGTATTACAGTAATCCTTTTTGTGAAGCAAGCTACAGCTTACGGTAACTTTCATAAACGATCCATAAAAACTTACTGAACTGAAATTAAGCCCCTCTAGCTCGCTCCACAAGCTTTAAATCGGATTTTTAACCCACTTGCCCTATGTAAATTGACACGGAGAATCGATTGGTGGCGGTTAGAAGTTTCCTGGATAACCGCTAAGGACCAAAAACCTCTATCTTTCCCAAATTGTTTTTGTCAGTTGTTTCCAAAATTGATAAACACACCCTTTCAAGTGCACTCAATTCTTCATTTTTTCCACAAATCGTTGCTTTGAATCGATTGTGCCAGAAATGGTGTGTTTACAATGTGATAAAGTACATGACAATGAATGCTGTGATGTCTGTAATAGACTGAAAATGTGATGAGCACTCAAGAAAAATATTACTGTAAAATAGTGCAGTAATCTAAAGAGAAGACTATTGCAAAGGTACGCAAATTGATTGCAAAGGTACACAAAGTTCTACGCGTTAAAGGTATTACGGTGCCTTACTGAATATTTTATATATTTATAACATCTTTAACAGAATGCCCTTTGTGTAATTGATCTATTTGTAAAAGGAAATTTTTCCAAATGACGTCATTGGAATGAAAATTTCGTTTATTTAGCTGCTTTAGATAACCACATTAGATCACATTTTGCAAAATTTAGCTTCGAAAATTGAAATTCAACAAAGCCAAGAAACGGGCAAACATCGGGAATATCAAAAAAATGGGTTTTTAGATGTAAAATTTAGATTTTAGATTTAAAACTTAGATTTTAGATATAAAAATTTAGATTTTTGATCTAAAAATACACTACTGGACAATGAAATATCATATTTGAAAGATCATCATTCAAAAAAGATCGTCACTTTCGCGCGTCTGTAACTCCCTTGTCTTTACCGTATTTCTAAATATTAATATTACCATTGTGTAGCCCTTGAAAAGCGCTTTCAGAAAATGTATAACACTAATAGTTTAAACTCAAAGACAAGGGAGTTACAGACGCGCGAAAGTGACGATCGTTTTTCAAATACAGTGCTCCAACTAATTATAGAGCCACTTACATTTTTTAAAACTCAGTAGCGACTTTGAAGCGAAATCAATTAAATTGTACTTTGGTCAGTAGAGAATTTTTGTACTGATCTTTTCTATTCATTTTTATTTAGAAGTTGCTAACCGTCGTGACGCTTTATCTTTAAATTCAAAAAAATGACACTTTTCCGCTCCAACTAATTATAGAGCCACTCTGATTTTTGTTTGTAATTGTTTTTTTTTCATTTCCATTTATTTATAATTCGATTGACTTTACTTTATTAAGTTATTTTTAGTTATGGCAAGAGGTAAAACGCTTTCCGACTTCGAGAAAGGACAGATCGAAGCATATAACCACGCTGGAAGGAGTAATCGAGAAATTGCTCGACTTTTGGGTAGAAGTCATCACCTCGTTGATAGTTACCTTACTGATCCAGACATATATGGCACTAGAAAATCAACAGGACGAATTCCGCAAGTATCAGACCAAGATAAAAGGCGAATTTGGCGAGCGGCTTCCAACAGCACAATTACATGTCGCCGAATCAAACGAGAATTGGGATTGCGAGGCGTGCTCCAACGATAACAGCTCAAAATAAAGAAAAACTTTTGAAATTTTGTCAAAGAAACATGCGTCAGAATTGGTCTAAGATTAGCAAAAGCACCAAGTTGAATTTTTCTTACGTTTCATAGTTTAGGTAATCTGGAGCGATGAAAAAAAATTCAATCTTGATGGTTGCGATGGTTTCAAAGCATACTGGCACGATATCCGAAAAGAACCAAAGCTTTTTTCACGACGAAATTTTGGCGGTGGAGGCGTAATGGTCTGGGGGTGATTCACATCAACTGGAAGGATCAAATTAGCGTTTGTCCCAAAGAAAATCAATTCCGAAAGGTATCAGTGGATACTCCGACGATGTCTGTTGCCATTTTATCGCAAGAATTCCACTCAAAATTTTATTTACATGCAGGATAATGCGCCAATTCACGTTAGTGAAAGTACTCGAGGCTGGTTCCGGAGGCGCCAAATTCAACTTCTTGATTGGCCGCCAAATTCGCCCGATATAAATCCGATGGAGAACATTTGGGGAATACTAGCACGTCGAATTTACGAAAATAACAGACAATACGCAGGTCTTGAAGAATTGAAAAGGGCGATTATAAATACTTGGCATACGATCGATCAAAAAATCATCGAGAACCTCATTTCAAGCATGGATACTCGAATTTTCCAGATTATAAAACTTAATGGTGAGGCTATTGATTATTGATTTGTCATTTAACCTGTTTACTTGTTATCCTTATAAACATTTCTTGATATTTTTGGAGTGGCTCTATAATTAGTTGGAGCGGAAAAGTGTCATTTTTTTGAATTTAAAGATAAAGCGTCACGACGGTTAGCAACTTCTAAATAAAAATGAATAGAAAAGATCAGTACAAAAATTCTCTACTGACCAAAGTTGAATTTAATTGATTTCGCTTCAAAGTCGCTACTGAGTTTTAAAAAATGTAAGTGGCTCTATAATTAGTTGGAGCACTGTATGATATTTCATTGTCCAGTACTGTATATCTATATTCAGCAAATCCTAAATCAAACTAGGTTTTTCTCGTTTTTCTCGTTTCGTATAGATCCAATTCGTAAGGAGCTTTCATTTCTGGCTAAATACCTTACCTGAATAAATTAAACTATATAAAAACTAAAAAAATATTCAATAAGTAATAAATTTTTAGGTTCCCTGTTCACCGATAAGCATTTCATTTTACCGAAAAAAGAGCCACTTTTTAGGAAACAGGTTCGAATAGGTGTTATGACGGAGAACACCCCGCGGCTAGAGTACTGTTTACCTCCGGGAGAACCGCCGAGCCCCCTTTCTTACTCCTAGTAGCTTGTTAAACAAGAAAAAAATACAATATTATATGTTCGAAACAAGACTAGTTCTATACAAGCCAACATGCAGGTCATTTTCTAAAACGTGGACTTTTTTTGGTGAAATTAATATCTTTATTTTTATCTTTCAACTGAATATCTTTATTTTTATGAAACGTTTGAAGGAAAGATTTTCCCAAAATCATTCATTGGGGTAGGCTAGTTTCCGCGACTTTTTTTGCACAACTCACCATAACTTTCTTCTAAGTCGGTCAATCTTTATGCTTTTGGTGTTATTTTGTTGCACTTATTGAGATCTACAAAATGAAACCAAAAGCATAAAGATTGGCCCGCTTAGAAAAAAGTTATGGCGAGTTGCGCAAACAGCCCTGTTGCGCAAAAAAAGTCGCGGAAACTAGCCTACCCCCATTCATTTGATCAGCTGCGCACTTCTGATGGCGCATTGACTTTTATTAAAACTTTGCTGCTTGATGTCAAAAGTTTGATCCATTCTTGAATTTCTTAAGCTTTGTAAGTGCTCTGGTTGGTAGTTTGTAGCTTCGGTAATTATCAGGTTGGGGGTAGCTTTTTTCTTCAAAAGTGTCTTTTCTTGGGCAGTTTTTTTGCGTGGATCACGAATTTCATAGTGGAAGATTTGACCTGACTTAGTCAGGCCCTATTTTAGGCGTGTTTTCTCTAGTATTGTTTTGCATTTTTTGGGGCAATCAAATACGCTTAATCGATTGACGATATTTTTAGAATATTTTGAACAAGTTATCACTTTGTATTTTGCCCCTCTTCATTTTCAAGCCTAGCAACACTGCCGAGGCAAAACTCTAGCTAATTTATCAAAATATCAATAAAAATTGTTCAAAACTTTCTAAAAATATTTTCAATAGATTCATCATGATTGATTACCCCAGAAAAAGTAAAATAACTTTGGTAAAACAGTCAAAAAATACAATGAGTAAATCGGGTCCAAATGCCCCGTAGCTTCTTTGCTGAGTCATTTTTTAGATTTTAGCGGCTCTTATGCTGATTATTAAACTTTTACTTGATGTTTAGATTTGTTGTAACATAGGGCCCCTTGTTTCAGAGCTACTTTCGAATTTGCCAAGTCATTGTTAACTTTTGATGATATTTACTCTTAAGCCGTTCTTTGCCTAAACTAGATTCACTCTATACCTTTTGTCAGAACGCGTTTCAACCGACTCTAGAGAGAGAATGGGCGGGGTTTTCCCTTTCTTTCGCCTCGTTTTCGCGCCCAAAGGCCGTGCAGAGGAAATGGCGGGCGCGGCAACTCATTTTTCAAAACCCCCACCTTTCCTTCGAGATTCTTGCATTTTGTTTTTAGTTTCTCTTTTTTTTATCAATCAACTAACGTTTAATTTCAGGAATTCGGCAAAGATGTTTGAGGCGAAGCTCACGAGCGCTTCAATTATGAAGAAGATCATCGACTCGATTAAGGTAACGGTTTTGTTGGGGATAATTTGAATTTGCTGAAGCTAAAATGGTACAAGTTAGAAGAAATAGTATCGCCAAAATATTTTAAGCTCTGCCTTTAGTTTATTTGAGCCGAATAAAGTTTTGGCACCAGTATAGCAAAAGGTTAAATTGATTGGCATCTTTGGCAAACTAATCTTTTTTCATTTTAGGAGTTGGTCACTGATGCACCATTCGACTGCTCAGAACAAGCAATGTGCCTTCAAGCCATGGATTCGTCCCACGTCGCTCTTGTTTCACTCAAGATGGAGGTACAAAGTGCGCTTTGTTTTAAAACGCTAATAATGTTTAGGTTGGCCTCTTCGACACTTATCGGTGCGATCGGACGATCAACTTGGGACTGTCGCTTGCCAGCATGGCGAAGGCGTTGAAGTGCGCCAACAATGAGGACACTTGCGAGATCAAATACGATGATAACGATGGGGACACGGTGACGTTCACCTTCTGCGACACAAAGAGGGACAGGACTCAGGTTTGAAATTTTGCTTTGTTTCTAAACGAACTTTAAATTTAGGATGTGACCGTGAAGATGATGGACATCGACGTTGAACACCTTGGGATTCCCGATCAGGACTACGCTGTGGTGCTCGAAATGCCTGTGACCGAGTTCAAGAAGACGTGCTCGGATCTCTTCATGTTCAGCGAGACCATCAACATCACCGCCACTAAGGTACCTTGATTTGAAAGTATGCAACAATGGTTTTTCTTTAGGGAGCCGTCGTTTTCACCAGCAAGGGCGACTCTGGATCATCGGTCATCACCTACACTCCATCCAAAGATGTGGATAGCAGCGAGGTAAGCTTTTGGTTAGTAGATGGATCTATTTTTTAAATTTAGCATGTTACTCTTGATGTGAAAGAACCGGTCAACGTCAACTTCTCTACCAAGTACCTACTGCAATTCACCAAGGCTTCGGCGCTGAGTGATCGAGTGAAAATCGCCCTCACAAACGACACTCCTATTGTTATCGAGTAAGTTTTATCCTAGTTTTGAATTACTTTACCCTAGCTACTTACTATTTCTATTTTCAGGTATGGGCTGAATGATAACGGGCATCTTCGCTTCTACTTGGCTCCAAAGATCGATGACGAGGAGAACAATATGGATTAAGCCGATGCGTGGTACTGAAATAAGCAAATGGTCTTTTATGTTTTATGCAAACGTCTGCTTTATGTTTTAAATTATGATGTTGATCTCAATAAAGTATTTTGTATTTTCAGTTGACACCTTGACCTTAGAAAGTTTTGTAAATACGCACAATGCCAGCACCCTGACTTTTTCACGCACTCGCCATGATTTCTCAAAAACTGGGCATTAGATTGGGATGAAAGTTTGGCACAATATGAGCAACTTGCTATGATCAAAAATTTATGGTTCAAACAAGATTCGAAGATAAACCCTTGTTACAAGCAATCTAATAGGCGGACGTTCCATTTGAATCGGCCATACAATGGTGGTGAAAACTAAAATTGAATTAATCAATGGACAACAACTTTGCTACGAAAGTACTTTAGTGCGGTGCATTAACCGAAACAGTATCCTGTTGCCCAGTACAGTACCGAAAGCTCTGTTCACGAAGATGCCAATAGTTAGACTGAACAAGAAACAAGACACTTTTATCTCAATTTTTAGATCTGTTCTCAATAATAATGGTCTTCAATTCTACTTGATTCAACCTTTTCTTCAGGAACCTCATCTTTCTCCCTACACGCAAGCGTTGATGAAAAGGCGCGGTCGTTTTGGGTATCTTGAATCATGGGAATATCGAATGGTGACCACGTATGATGTGCATTTTTGTAAGTTTTATTCTTTTTTATGGGTAACCATTTAAATAATTTAATAGATTTAATGGCTAGTACTGAATAGTTATAGTTATTGGCTTATATTTATTAGGTTGGCAACTTAATAATGACGCGTTTATGTAACAAATCATTTATTTCAAAAAAACACAAAAGAAGAGCTTTCAATTCGAAAGGTATTCTCCATTAGTATCTATGACTTCTTCCCATCTTCTGCGCAAATCCCGGATTCCATCCTCGAAGAACTTGGGAGTTTTTGAGGCGAAGTAGTCATTCACTGCTTTTATGACCTGAGCATGATCATCGAACTTTTCTCCCTCTAAAAGTGCTTCAGCGACCGAAACAAAAAGTAATTTGAAGGAACCAGATCAGGTGAATAAGACGCGTGGGGCAAAACTTTCCAGCCAAGTTTCTCGATTTTCTTATAAGTGATCTTTGCAGTGTGAGGTTTTACGTTGTCGTGTAAAAATCTGACTCTCTCCGGTTTGAGCCCCAATTTCTTCAAAGACTCGTTAACTCTCATTAATTGCTTCGAATAAAGATCAGCATCGACGGTTTGGCCAGGTTTCAGCACTTCACAATGCACCAATCCCTTGAAGTTCCACCAGCAACAGAGCATTATCTTCTTCCCATGGATATCAGGTTTGGGAGTGGTTTGAGGGGTCTGCCCAGCAGATAGCCATTGATTTTTGCGCTTAACGTTCTCGTAGTTGATCCACGTTTCGTCAGAAGTCAAAACCCTGTGAAAAAAGTCGTTTGATTTACATTTTTGTAACAAAATTGAGGCGACATTTTGTTGCTTTGGGTCAGTTCGTGAGGAACCCATTTTCCAACTCGATTCTTTTCCCAAGTGTGTGTAAATAGTTTTTGATTGTCGTATGGGATACTTCAAATATTTCTGCCAACTCACGAACGGTGAGTGTTGGGCAATCTTCAATTAAGGCGAGCAAGTCATCGTCGACCATTTCTGGAGGATGTCCTTGGTGTGGCTCGTCTACGAGGCTTTCATCGCCGCCTTGGAATCTTTGAAACCATCGTTGACATTGCCGAATGTGTATACTTTCCTCCCCAAAAACAGTGATGATCGTGCGATGAGATTCAGCTGGTGATTTTCCTTGTTTAAAATCGTAGAACAATGCAGCTCGAATACGGAATTTTTTGTCCTCCATTTTTTGCCAAAAAGCGAATGATGAAATTTGCAGCACTAAATGTTATTTATGCAGATATCTTTTACTTTGTATATATGCAAAAAAGAGGGAAGAAACGGCGCTTGAAATTACAAAAAACATGTTAAGTAGTGACGCGTCATTATTAAGTTGCCAACCTAATACAAATGGGTTCATTTAGATGCTTCTTATGCGATCGCCTCTCTCTGGCCGGATTTGGAGTTGACCATCCAAGCGGAATTCAGTGAGTTTCAAAGAAAATCTTTTAATTACTATCTTGCACGCTACCTATAAAATTCCTGTAACAATTAAGTTTATCTTTTCTTTACAGCTGATCAAGTCGGACACAGCGCCGAGAAAGAGATTCGCTTTCACATGGAAGGAGACAAAGCACCACTCAAATCGAGAGCTCGCGTACCGCATGATTTGGGAAATCCAGGTATCACAAGTTTTTTTTTGGCTGCTTATGTAAACCATTTTTTCAGCGCAAGATCCCTGGTTGTTGACGAACGCTTATGTGATGCACGACACTGGAAAATGGAAAGATCTCAACTTGAAATTCGTGCTCACTTCATGGCGTGACTATGTGATTCTGACAGAAAAGAACCGCAAATTTTTGGATCATGTCTACCCGGCTGTTAAGGTAAATTTTGGCGCGGAAGATTTTACAGCATTTCTACTTTAGTTGCTGATCAATGATACGCTCGATTGTTGGGATCAAGACCGTGATGGTTAGTGACCTTCCATTCTCCGATTTTTTATGGGAAATTTAGGAATGATCGAGAACTTCGGAAAAGCCGATCAGACGTATGATGCATGGCAGATGGAGGGCGTCAGGTTGGGAAAATATTGTTTTACCTAAAATGAGAGTTTTTAGTGCTTTGAGGGCGACGATCTACGAGTTGAACGTGTGCAAATTTGGCGATGGGAAGATGGGTGCCGTGAATGGAATGAGACCCGATGGGACTTTGGATCGAGCGTACATACAGGTGTGATTTGTTTTCGAGTTTAGTTTCTTAGTAGTTTGGCTGGCAATGGCGGTATTACCGGATAGCATTTTAGCCTTAAAATTTTAGTCGTGATTCGTTGATGGCCAATCAATTGTGCGGGATATGGGATAACTCAAAGCCTGAAAAGGCGTTTGACGCTTACGTTTACATGAGGTGATGGAGCTATTCGAACGGCATATTCACACAAGATCAGCATTTCCATCCGTTGACCGATTCAACCAAGAACTTCTCCATCCAGCCGTTGCTTCCAGTGAAGGGTACACCGACTTCCTTAAAACGATCAGCTACTTCGTTGAAGAGTATCCGACGAGTGATCCTCTTCTTTTCAGCCCGTTGTCTTTTCCGCGCTCAAGCTGCTAACGCCTCGTCGACATCGGTAGAATTCGGGTGGCGACCTGCTCCGTCCAATCGCTTCCTTTTCCCATGAAACCCTTCTTATGAAACCCATGAAACCCAATGTTACGCTTAAAACTTTTTTGATTTTGCAAGTTTGGACTACGACCGGACCTCAGCACAAATTGAGCAGAAAATCGATGTGATTCCGGTGAGAATTGGCTTGCTTTTGAACCTTTTTGTTTGAATCATGTACAATGGTAAAAACTTTGAAAATACAGCCATTCTCAGACTGATCAATTCATTCTCTCGATTCGTGAGCCCGGTTCCACAACACCAATCTTTCAACAGGTAACTATTTATTGCATTGAAAGAGAAAAGAGAAAATGATCCAGAGAGAATTCATCAAATACGGGCAACTCGGGAGCGTTTCGTTTTCTAAAAATTTGTGCTTTTAAAATTTGAGTCACTTTTTTTACCTGAATAGCGCTTCTTTGCAAACCAGCTTTTTTGTTGCGCTGTTTTCTAGTTTTTGGAGGCTTAGAAGCTTCAATAATTGTATCCATTACTTGACAGGCTAAACCCCAGTTTCCAACGCTTTCTTTTGTGACTTACTTGCACCGCTTTTGTTGATCCGAGAAGCGTGTTCGTAGTGTCTGATTTCAATCCAGGATTCGTCCTCGGTCCAGTGAGAAGATTTGCAGGATTTTTTTCCATATGGATGACCTTTTTCGCTTTCATAGTCTCTCAACTAAATGGATTTGTGAGATTAATTGCTACGAAAGTAAAACTCATGTTTATTTTTGTTGATAATGCAAACCATTAAAGCCATCGCTGTTAACTCCATGACCTTTTGATGGGCAAATGCATCGAGAATTTTGAGAACGCGCTTTTCCATTGGTGGCCCGCCAAGGAAGCGCCAGAATGGTTCGGCTTCTAATCTAAATTATGGACTTTTTGGGTAGTTTAGCCCTGTAACAAGACCTTCGCCCTGAGGCAACTCAAATATGCATATTGTAATGCGATTCTTAAAAAGATTTAAAGCAAAAAGTTTGAAGCGGACGGGAATCGAACCTAGCAACCTCTTGGGGCGGTAGCTTTAAACTTAACTTTAAAAAAGTAGACAATGAAATTTTCTAAATTTTTTTTGGGGACGGCGCCATTACCAATCTAACAAAAAAAGCGCACCCCGAATTTCGATCTAGATGCTGAGAAAATCGACACTTTCGGAGGGTCACTGTGACGGCACTGTTGCCTTTTATATATATGTTACGTCCGAATCTGAGGAGACGTCCATCTCCGATCCGGACGTCCGAATCTGAGGAGATTCATTCTCCTCCGAAACGGACGTCCGACTCAGATCCGGACGTCCGAATTTGAGGAGAATGATCATTCTTCTCGGAATCGGACGTCCGATCTTGAGAACAAACAGTTTATATAAAGGTTAACGGCACTTTTGTAGAACTTTAGTAAAAAAGTAAATTGAGAGAATTTCCATTTTAACTTCCTTTTTCATTTGTTTTGTTCAAAACTTTGGATTTGCATTTAAACTATTTGTTCTCAGGATCGGACGTCCAATTCCGAGAAGAATGATCATTCTCCTCAGATTCGGACGTCCGGATCTGAGTCGGAAGTCCATCTCTGAGTCGGACGTCCGTTTCGGAGGAGAATGAATCTCCTCAGATTCGGACGTCCGGATCGGAGATGGACGTCTCCTCAGATTCGGACGTAACATATACATAGAGTAGCTAGTTAAATGCCTGAATTGGTCCCACTCTTTGAGCAGATTCCATAAAGTCTTACACTTCTTGGCCTCTGATCAGTGAGCAGCCTGGTCTGAACTTTGTGTCGAGTGAAGTCCATTGAAATCCATTGAATGCAAGCTCCTCCAGAAATTGTTGTGAGTTTGTGCTCATCACATGAATGTAATCATCGTAAGTAATTATGAAACGGCATCCCGAATCCTTTTCCTTTTTCTGATCACATCTGCAATTTGTAAAACTTAATATTAGCTTAATAGTGGCATTTTTTGTAAGCTTGTTTACGGGTTATTGTCACTCTTGCGATAGAATTCGATTCTCTTTCATTTCATTCGATTAAGATTACAGTAATGCTCACCTAGCCTTTGCCGCTTCCCAACATTGCTTCAATAGCAAGTTCAACAGTTGACCAATGAAATAAAGGGAAAAGGAGATACACTCAGGTAAAGGCTCTTTGTTGTGACCATATCTAGAAATTTTCACAGTAGACTTCTCTTTCGTTTTCTGTAGAACCACATTGTTTCCCATTTTTATCTACCTGCACATAAGAAAAGCCATTTTATCGAAAAGCCAATTCACTCCTTCGCGATTGTGAACTAAAAAAGAGCATTCATCACAAGTAAGATCTATCTTAATGAACGACCTCTAGAGACTTGACATTCTCTGCTCTGCCAAGGAAAAAGGAAATCAGGTTGAGCGCCGGTTTCAACCCAAACATAGCATTCGGCGTGCATTCGGCTAAAAGTTTCCTTGGATCTAAAAATTTTCATTTAATTTCAGCTTTAAAATAGAGCTTCTTTAGATGAATCGGATAGTCTCTGAGTTACTCACTCCTCGGGCAGTTGATTCAGCTCATTTTCATTTTCCAATTCCGACGAATCAAGCTCTAGGTTTGCGGCAGTCTGTCCTCTCGTTTGAACGACCATTTTTGGCGCTAAATGGTTAGGATATGGTATAAAAGTAGCCCTGAATAGAAATAGTGTCAAGGATCGGATTGGGAATAGCTCTACAGAGATTTGAACTCGATGTGATAAAAGAGGCAACGCATGAAAAGTTTTCAAAAGTTATCGAAATCGAAAAGCAAATTGTAGAGTGAAACTAGAAGAAGCTTTCAGAATTGATATACAAATTACCGTAAATACTGTAACAGTACCCCAGCCCCATAATCACGGTGCGGAGTGTTGCGTAGTCTAACTTGGAACGCGTTTTTCTCGACACTGGTTTAGGCTACAATGCGCGCTTAGGTATCAAAAAATAGCTGAAATTCAGGGCTATTTTTTCATACCAAAGACGCATTTTTTGAAAGTAGGGGTGTTTTGAAAAAAATGAAATACTAAAAAACTTTTGCGACTACGCGACTGTACGAGGGGGGGGTACTATTACAGTATTTACGGTAGATAAAATGAAGCCGAAAAATCGAGGAAATTAAAAGTATCAATCGAGGAATGCTCATTCTGCAGCTCCACCATTCTGTGGGTGGTCCTGCAAGATACGCTCGTAAATGGAGACTCGCAGAGGGCCGACGGCCAGAGCAGAGAACAAAGGAAGAGAATCAGAGAACGGTGATAGAATGAGAGAATAGGTGAATTGAGAGCTGAGAAACCAACTATGTGGTAGGTCTTTTGATCGTAGAGTTTGAAGAGAGTTTTGAAGAGTCTCTTCCTTTGCTCTCTATCCTGCCCATTAGCCGTCTGCGAGTCTCCATTTGCGAGCGTATCTTGCAGGACCACCCACAGAATTGCAGGACCACCCACAGAAACCCATGAACGCCCCTTGAACGGGCGTTTTCATATAAATGGGGATCTTCACGTGTCTTTTGATTTTTCGGCTTCATTTTATCTACCGTAAATACTGTAATAGTACCCCACCCCCCCCTCGTACAGTCGCGTAGTCGCAAAAGTTTTTTAGTATTTCATTTTTTTCAAAACACCCCTACTTTCAAAAAATGCGTCTTTGGTATGAAAAAATAGCCCTGAATTTCAGCTATTTTTTGATACCTAAGCGCGCATTGTAGCCTAAACCAGTGTCGAGAAAAACGCGTTCCAAGTTAGACTACGCAACACTCCGCACCGTGATTATGGGGCTGGGGTACTGTTACAGTATTTACGGTAATTTGTATATCAATTCTGAAAGCTTCTTCTAGTTTCACTCTACAATTTGCTTTTCGATTTCGATAACTTTTGAAAACTTTTCATGCGTTGCCTCTTTTATCACATCGAGTTCAAATCTCTGTAGAGCTATTCCCAATCCGATCCTTGACACTATTTCTATTCAGGGCTACTTTTATACCATATCCTAACCATTTAGCGCCAAAAATGGTCGTTCAAACGAGAGGACAGACTGCCGCAAACCTAGAGCTTGATTCGTCGGAATTGGAAAATGAAAATGAGCTGAATCAACTGCCCGAGGAGTGAGTAACTCAGAGACTATCCGATTCATCTAAAGAAGCTCTATTTTAAAGCTGAAATTAAATGAAAATTTTTAGATCCAAGGAAACTTTTAGCCGAATGCACGCCGAATGCTATGTTTGGGTTGAAACCGGCGCTCAACCTGATTTCCTTTTTCCTTGGCAGAGCAGAGAATGTCAAGTCTCTAGAGGTCGTTCATTAAGATAGATCTTACTTGTGATGAATGCTCTTTTTTAGTTCACAATCGCGAAGGAGTGAATTGGCTTTTCGATAAAATGGCTTTTCTTATGTGCAGGTAGATAAAAATGGGAAACAATGTGGTTCTACAGAAAACGAAAGAGAAGTCTACTGTGAAAATTTCTAGATATGGTCACAACAAAGAGCCTTTACCTGAGTGTATCTCCTTTTCCCTTTATTTCATTGGTCAACTGTTGAACTTGCTATTGAAGCAATGTTGGGAAGCGGCAAAGGCTAGGTGAGCATTACTGTAATCTTAATCGAATGAAATGAAAGAGAATCGAATTCTATCGCAAGAGTGACAATAACCCGTAAACAAGCTTACAAAAAATGCCACTATTAAGCTAATATTAAGTTTTACAAATTGCAGATGTGATCAGAAAAAGGAAAAGGATTCGGGATGCCGTTTCATAATTACTTACGATGATTACATTCATGTGATGAGCACAAACTTACAACAATTTCTGGAGGAGCTTGCATTCAATGGATTTCAATGGACTTCACTCGACACAAAATTCAGACCAGGCTGCTCACTGATCAGAGGCCAAGAAGTGTAAGACTTTATGGAATCTGCTCAAAGAGTGGGACCAATTCAAGCATTTAACTAGCCACTATATGTATATGTTACGTCCGAATCTGAGGAGACGTCCATCTCCGATCCGGACGTCCGAATCTGAGGAGATTCATTCTCCTCCGAAACGGACGTCCGACTCAGAGATGGACGTCCGACTCAGATCCGGACGTCCGACTCAGATCCGGACGTCCGAATCTGAGGAGAATGATCATTCTTCTCGGAATTGGACGTCCGATCCTGAGAACAAATAGTTTAAATGCAAATCCAAAGTTTTGAACAAAACAAATGAAAAAGGAAGTTAAAATGGAAATTCTCTCAATTTACTTTTTTACTAAAGTTCTACAAAAGTGCCGTTAACCTTTATAACAAACATAACATAACAAACAAAAAACAACAACGAAAATTAATAGGTGCATAGACCATTGACATTAAAAATAAAATTGAAACAAAAAAGAGACAATAATTACTTGTTAGTACAGCTTTTCGAATGGTGGCATCTCGAATTGCAGAGCAAGTCCTTCCTTCGACAAGCGCATCGATTCGTTGTGCATCCGCTCAAGCACATGCAATGGCTGTGACCTAAATGCAAAGAATTGAGTCAAATAAAAACATTTACAAACTCTCAAACCCATTTAAGAATTAATAAAAATTACTTACCTTGACTTCCTGTGATTGATGCTGCTCCAACGGCTGTTCTCACTGTTGTCTCCTTGTCTGGGATCGAATCGATGGAGATGAATTTGTAGTCGCCATCGGGAACACTTTGCATATCAATTAAATCGAGTTGGCATCGTTGGTTTTGATGGCGAGAAATGATTGGCTTCAATACGATCCCCTTTTTCGGCAGCTTCTTTTTCAATTGACATTCCTCGCATTGATCCACGAAAATCTTCAAAATGTCCTTTGAAATCCCGAAATAACTTCGAAGAGCTTTCCACATTATCCCAATACCAGCGTGTCCGAGAGATGAGTGTTTTTGTCGAAGCAATTCGTAGAGATCCTCTCGTTTAATGACTTTTTTCCCTTCGTCCTCTTTGCTCCATCGCCATGATGCAGCAGAATTGAAGTCCCGTTTTCGTTGAATAGAGAATATCGTCGGTGAAGATTTTGCTCCGCTTTTGATCTCCAATTGCTTTCTGATTGCAACAGCTCGATCATCTTTTTGTACTTTTCAGTGTTTGGGAAACAACTTCGTTACCCGAGTTGCTCATCGAAGCCCGTCATTCACAAACTAAAAAAGAAACATATAGTTAAAAACATAGTCAAAATGTATAGCTAACAGAAAAAAATAAAACATCTTGCCAAATTGCCAAACCGCACATATTACCAAATTATCTGTGAAGAAAAAAAAGTAAATTGAGAGAATTTCCATTTTAACTTCCTTTTTCATTTGTTTTGTTCAAAACATTGGATTTGCATTTAAACTGTTTGTTCTCAAGATCGGACGTCCGATTCCGAGAAGAATGATCATTCTCCTCAAATTCGGACGTCCGGATCTGAGTCGGACGTCCGTTTCGGAGGAGAATGAATCTCCTCAGATTCGGACGTCCGGATCGGAGATGGACGTCTCCTCAGATTCGGACGTAACATATATATAAAAGGCAACAGTGCCGTCACAGTGACCCTCCGAAAGTGTCGATTTTCTCAGCATCTAGATCCAAACTCGGGGTGCGCTTTTTTTGTTAGATTGGTAATGGCGCCGTCCCCAAAAATGCAAATTTGAGTTGCCTCAGGGCGAAGGTCTTGATACAGGGCTAAACTAAAAGTCCATAATTTAGATTAGAAGCCGAAACATTCTGGCGCTTCCTTGGCGGGCCACCAATGGAAAAGCGCGTTCTCAAAATTCTCGATGCATTTGCCCATCAAAAGGTCATGGAGTTAACAGCGATGGCTTTAATGGTTTGCATTATCAACAAAAATAAACATGAGTTTTACTTTCGTAGCAATTAATCTCACAAATCCATTTAGTTGAGAGACTATGAAAGCGAAAAAGGTCATCCATATGGAAAAAAATCCTGCAAATCTTCTCACTGGACCGAGGACGAATCCTGGATTGAAATCAGACACTACGAACACGCTTCTCGGATCAACAAAAGCGGTGCAAGTAAGTCACAAAAGAAAGCGTTGGAAACTGGGGTTTAGCCTGTCAAGTAATGGATGCAATTATTGAAGCTTCTAAGCCTCCAAAAACTAGAAAACAGCGCAACAAAAAAGCTGGTTTTCAAAGAAGCGCTACTCAGGTAAAAAAAGTTACTCAAATTTTAAAAGCACAAATTTTTAGAAAACGAAACGCTCCCGAGTTGCCCGTATTTGATGAATTCTCTCTGGATCATTTTCTCTTTTCTCTTTCAATGCAATAAATAGTTACCTGTTGAAAGATTGGTGTTGTGGAACCGGGCTCACGAATCGAGAGAATGAATTGATCAGTCTGAGAATGGCTGTATTTTCAAAGTTTTTACCATTGTACAAGATTCAAACAAAAAGTTTCAAAAGCAAGCCAATTCTAACCGGAATCACATCGATTTTCTGCTCAATTTGTGCTGAGGTCCGGTCGTAGTCCAAACTTGCAAAATCAAAAAAGTTTTAAGCGTAACATTGGATAATCGAGAGATGGCGAGAGATGTTTTCATTCACTCGGCGGCGAAATTCTACAAAATTGATCGCAAAGTGGTGAAGCGATGCCTGAAAAAGAAAGGAGAGCTGGAAGGGTTTCATGGGAAAAGGAAGCGATTGGACGGAGCAGGTCGCCACCCGAATTCTACCGATGTCGACGAGGCGTTGGCAGCTTGAGCGCGGAAAAGACAACGGGCTGAAAAGAAGAGGATCACTCGTCGGATACTCTTCAACGAAGTAGCTGATCGTTTTAAGGAAGTCGGTGTACCCTTCACTGGAAGCAACGGCTGGATGGAGAAGTTCTTGGTTGAATCGGTCAACGGATGGAAATGCTGATCTTGTGTGAATATGCCGTTCGAATAGCTCCATCACCTCATGCAAACGTAAGCGTCAAACGCCTTTTCAGGTTTTGAATTATCAAAAGAATTTTAAACTGAAAGTTTAGCCGAATCACGAGGATTTCCTCACATCAACAAAGAAGAAATCTATCCGCGAAAGCTGGAGCTTCCACATAAAATAGCGGACTTAAGACAACGCACTACCTCGAGAGTGTAAGTTTTATTTTGCTAAAATTTTACCTTTAGTGATTTACAGAGTTTTCTCGCCACTTTTCACTCTCGACTATGGACTCAACTTCAGCAACTGGCTGCTTTGCTGGAGAGTCACAGTGTGGATCACGAAGGGCTCCCTCCAATATTGTTTCGTAAATTTTCATTAGAATCCTCCTGACTTAAGTTTTTAACGAACCTTTTTTCGTTTTCCGTGTTTTTTACGGCATATAGGCCAACTGGAGAAGAAAAAAAAGTAAAATTGATAATTTCAAGCGCTTCTCCAGCCCACGATACCGCAAAAATCGTAAAAATTAGGTATAATTGCTCATTAAGCGTTCATTAATGCTATTCTACTCTCTTCTTACGCAGAACCTTTTTTTATAGATTCATAAAAACTAAGAAACACTAAAGATAACAGTGAAAACACGTTATTGTAGCGCTTGAGATTGTTTCAATCCAAATCGGACACAACGTATACACCGCGGGGAGGGGGATAGCTGGCCTTCCCCCGCGGGCATCGATGAACAGTTATAGGCGATTTAATCTGAACGGTCTGGGCTCCTTATCTGTATTTGTGGTGTGCCAAATTCTGTACGATTGTGTGCAGAGCTAAGGAATACACAAACGTTTTAAACAATTTGAACTTTTATTAGGTTGTAGGCCTAATTCATTCACGTTACAATATTATATGTTTAAATTTATATGTTTGCATTGTTAATTTAGTGATGCATACGTTTAGAATAAATACGTTACGGTTTATGCAGAGTGGCGCACAACAAAAACAATCGAAACTAGCAGCCTAGGTGATTCCCGGATGTGGTCATTGTTTGGGGATTTTTGTGTCTATCGTCAAGCCGTGCATATCTTTGATTTCACTCGAAAGGCAACTCGTGATCGCTTTGTGCTGAGCCACCTAAAAAGGATGAATTAGATTTTAAATTTTTACTAGGATACACCATTGTGCTTATCTCACGGCTATCTTTGGAAGTCATCCTAAGCCTGAGCCTGAGCCTAAGCCTGAGCCTGAGCCTAAGCCTAAGCCCAAAGCAGCTAGCCTCAAAACATCGCTATAGCTTAACCGGACACTTCAAGTCGGACAGAACTGAATAAAACACTCACTTTGGTCAAACCCTTGAATTCAACACTCTCCACCGCCACTTTGTACATCGAACCGCAACCACCTGTAAAAAGAAATCATCATAATTATTCCAATCTGCGGGAGCTCTAAAGAGGTTCTGTCAGGGATTCGATATTCCTACTGCAATACCCATAATAACTCAAAAGTCAGGACTACTCGAAGTTGTACATCAAATGTACTACTGTAAATAGCTCCATAGTGAAAGACTTACCCGATATATCCTCCACGTCGATGTTGCTCGCCTTCGGAAACTTTTGTCGCAGCAATTTCGCCAATTTTTCTTCGCCTAAAAGGAAATGAAGCAATTATTCAAGTGCTGTAAAATTTACCCGATGACAATTGTTGTGAAAGTGATCGGTTCGTCGTCAAAAATCTCGACGTCAATATTCTGAGCATTCTAAAGAAGTAAATGTTTAACATAAAGAAAAAGAAAGCTTTTAGTGTGGAAAGGTATTTGTAAAAATTGAGAATCTCGAGAGGTTTCACAAATTTGCACTTTAATTAAAAAAGAAATCCGTTGCTTGTTTCAAAACTCGATGTTTTCTATAAAAAAAAGACAAATTTTAGAAATTTTTATCATGTTAATCGCAAAAAAAAAGCGAACAATCGATGGTATTTGCTGGTTAGGATTAGCACCAAATATTAGACTAAAAGATAAAAAGAATTCGAAAAAAAAACCATTTGTTATACCCTTTCTACAGCATCAATCACGTAAATCACAAGCTCGTTTTTTAGGATTGGCAATGCACAGTCTAAAAATAATTGCACTATAGAGAAGAAAGAAATGAGAGAAATAAAAAACTCGAATGCAGAAATGACTAATTTTAAAGAATTAAATGCAAACAAAAAAATGATTACAAGAGAGATTTATCACAAGCAATTGAAAAAACGATCTAGAAACACAAGGATATACCTAAGATATTCTACACATACACAGAGTTCGAGGGTTGAAAGGATCGACGCGAGAAATCTGCGAAAAATCGTTCAAATCTCAGCCCGGCCACTTGATGTCGAAAGACCGGAGTCGGTAAGTACCTGAATGAGATAGTATTTAGAAGATTTAATACATATTTCAACAACTAGACCGGCTGCTGATAACCATAATCCTTGAAAAGTGTGAATTATTCTGTTATTAGACTCAAAAGAGCTTCACCGTTTTTGAAAAATGGCATCAAACTGCCACATAAACCAATAATTATACCTGATTCGATTCGCGGTTTGATTCGTCTCGTTCCTCGCTACAATATCCCTCCGATTGGCTATCCACGAGTGAACGATTGTTCGACGATGGGCATGGGCTAAAATGAATGATTGAAGAAGTTGGCTTGTATTCGGTTATATCTTCCAGCACTATCATTAAATTACAAAAGCAATTGTAAAATAGATCTACCTGGGAACCGCGAGTGTTGTTCGCTGAATTCCCTGAATGCTCGTGTGCTCATCGATTTTGCCCAACTTGTAGAAACGCTCAAGCGCCCATTGCATTGCCCAAATCGATAGTGGTCTCATGTAGCCAATCGCGCGATAATACCTATAAAGGATAGCAATTATACATGTAAAAGTTAACCACCAACACATCACTCTTTTATTAGAACCTATGCTTACTTCTTTTCGTAGATGGCCTCCGGAGTTTGAAATTGTAGCCCAAAGCGCTCAAAACACGAGTCATAACTGCCAAAAGCTGTGTCGAATCCCCGTTGAAGTTCTCCCTAAACAAGATTTGCATTTATTTACAAGAAAAAGAAAACCTGTTGAATCATAAAAGCAGCAACCGCATACGTGACACCAGTCCACATTTCATCGGCCTAAAATTTTAAGGTTAAAATGCTATCCGGTAATACCGCCATTGCCAGCCAAACTACTAAGAAACTAAACTCGAAAACAAATCACACCTGTATGTACGCCCGATCCAAAGTCCCATCGGGTCTCATTCCATTCACGGCGCCCATCTTCCCATCGCCAAATTTGCACACGTTCAACTCGTAGATCGTCGCCAAAGCTTTCGACACTTTCTCAGTAGGAACCAACTAAAGAAAACTCACGTAAACAAAAAACTTGATTAAAGCTTAAATCCACTCACCTCAGCAGCCATTTCCGGTGAGCAACTTTGCAAAAACCATATCCCGCACAATTGATCGGCCATCACCGAATCACGACTCTTCGAGCGCTCGCAAAAGTTGAAATAGGCTCCGTTCCAAAGCTTGTCGATAAACACCTAAAATCAAATCAACTTCGAATTGTTTCCACTCCACTCCTGTACCTGCTTAGCTTTCACGAGTGTTTGATGGTATCGAATCGAGCTTTCAATATCGCCACATTCTTCAGCCATCGCCTCTGCCACCCTCAAAGCGCCCAACCAAAGCGATCCACAATAAGCACTAAAAACTCTCATTTTAGGTAAAACACTATTTTCCCACCTGACGCCCTCCATCTGCCATGCATCATACGTCTGATCGGCTTTCCCGAAGTTCTCGATCATTCCTAAATTTCCCATAAAATAATCAGAGAATGGATGGTCACTAACCATCACGGTCTTGATCCCAACAATCGAGCGCATCATTGATCAGCAACTAAAGTAGAAATTCTGTAAAATCTTCCGCGCCAAAATTTACCTTAACAGCCGGGTAGACATGATCCAAAAATTTGCGGTTCTTCTCCGTCAGAATCACATAGTCACGCCATGAAGTGAGCACGAATTTCAAGTTGAGATCTTTCCATTTTCCAGTGTCGTGCATCACATAAGCGTTCGTCAACAACCAGGGATCTTGCGCTGAAAAAATCGTTTACATAAGCAGCCAAAAAACTTGTGATACCTGGATTTCCCAAATCATGCGGTACGCGAGCTCTCGATTTGAGTGGTGCTTTGTCTCCTTCCATGTGAAAGCGAATCTCTTTCTCGGCGCTGTGTCCGACTTGATCAGCTGTAAAGAAAAGATAAACTTAATTGTTACAGGAATTTTATAGGTAGCGTGCAAGATAGTAATTAAAAGATTTTCTTTGAAACTCACTGAATTCCGCTTGGATGGTCAACTCCAAATCCGGCCAGAGAGAGGCGATCGCATAAGAAGCATCTAAATGAACCCATTTGTAAATATAAGCCAATAACTATAACTATTCAGTACTAGCCATTAAATCTATTAAATTATTTAAATGGTTACGCATAAAAAAGAATAAGACTTACAAAAATGCACATCATACGTGGTCACCATTCGATATTCCCACGATTCAAGATACCCAAAACGACCGTGCCTTTTCATCAACGCTTGCGTGTAGGGAGAAAGATGAGGTTCCTGAAGAAAAGGTTGAAGAAAAGTATCTAAAACTACCTCTCGACTCCAATTCTCATCATACTCGAACCACATCGAGCCACCGTCGGTCATGTAGTAGAGCTCGTTGAAAAGCGCTGCTTTGTACCATTCGGGCAAATATCTAAAGTCGAGTTTTACTAAATGTTAGAATAAAACTTGATAAAATGCATTAAATCACAAAATGAACGCACGAGTGTCTCAAAAGCGGTTCCTGCCACTCGTTGATCTTCGTCTCCCATTTCGAATAGTCGAGAAGAGTTGCTGTGCACAATTTCGCCGCGAGTCCCTCCAATGAATCGAAGAATCGCGTGTATCGCCTAAAAAACAAAACGGTTATAAACTGGGCATTCTTTTACAGTGTTATTTTAATCGTATATCATTAAAATCCAGTATCCATTAGAATTAAAATTTCTTACCTTTTGTATTCTCGTCTTCCATCACCGAATTTCACCTTTGGCATGTCCCAGGCTAACGAAAATTCGGCCCAATCCGAGCGCGTGCTTTTTGGTGGCACGACCCCTTTCACACAAACGCCAACACCCAAACGAGCCGGATACGGAAGATCGGCTAAATTAAGTTTAATTAAAATCATACATTATATTCATTCCACTAAAAAAGATACCTTCACCAGGCAGATTCCCAGTCTCAGCAAGATGTTGCCACAACGTCAACCCATTTCCACAAGGATCAAAGGAACGACACAATGAAGTGATTTGATCAGACTAAACAAAAAAAAGTTATAAGGAACTAAATTGTTCTGGCTTACTTTAACTCGTGTTGCCAACCCGTACGTGCAATTCATCTTATCGATTTTGTGTTGCAAAGAGACACCCGCAATATCTAAAATCGGGTATTCAATAGGCTAAACTGAGATTCACAAACTATTTTCCTCAAAGTTTTCCGCTGTGCAATCGGCAGCAAGATCCGATCTTCTTTTACCCGTTCCGTTGCGAAACACAAAAGCAATTGATACCTATAAACAAGGTTCGGTTATGATAGAGTGCAATTTTTAAAATGTTACCTCGTATTCAACATTACTCTTATTATCAACATCGAAAATAAATGCGGTCGTGGGGAATGAAGTTTCCTAAAATTTAAATTTCAAAATTTAAAATTTCGGCAATTTAAATGCCGAAAGTTTTACCTTATAGTTGTTCGGAAAAACAGGATTCACTTGTCGCAATGTGACCGAGAGATTGCACGAGGGCACTTTGTATTCCGTCCACGAACGAGGGTAGAGTCCTCTAAAAATGGAAACATTATTGGTTTCTCGTATGTAATACTATGTAGGCATTTTTAAATTTTTGGGAAGTTAAATACGTATGTTCACCGTATATTTCATATATACGTATGAAAATTGCTTTCCTTTCTCCGTTTTTTTTGAAAACAGGAAATGTGCGAAAACTGAATCGTTTGATTTGGAAAAGTGAGAGAATTTGTGTTAGAATCTATCTAAACAAGTTCGGAAATCCCGTTTTCCCCTCACCTCACCAGGTTTTTGTATAGGCAAAAGGTCATCCATATGGAAACCAATCCTCCAAACTTTCTTATTGGATCAAGGACGAATCCTGGATTCAAATGAGACACTACGAACACGCTTTTCAGATGAACAAAAGCGGTGCAAGTAAGTTACAAAAGAAAGCGTTGAAAACTGGAATTTAGCCGCTCAAGCAATGGATGCAATTATTGAAGCTCTTTCACCTCCAACTCCAAAAACTAGGAAACGGCGCCACAAAACAGCTGGTTTTCAAAGAAGCGCTATTCAGGTACAAAAAGTGACTCAAATTCTAAATGCGCAAATTTCCAGAAAACGAAGCGCTCTAGAGTTGCCCGCATTTCATGAATTCTGAATGAATTATTTTCTCTTCTCATTCCGGTATTCAATTGGGATATTATCTTTGTAAATTTTTCTCCATTCTGGTATTTATTCGGGGCATTTTTTTGTAAATTTCTATGGGCTATTCAGTTAGTCTTATTTTTTTTTTCTCATCTATACCAACGTGAGATTTTTCAAAGCGTATGGAAGTCATTTTTTATGTTTAGATTTCTATTTTCGTATTCACCTATAGTGAAGATCCTCTTGCTTGAAGGTGAAATCCCAGGCGGTTAACTGTCCGTTAGCTCTTTCGATCGTAGCGGCGCAGAGAACCTAAAAAGTGGATTTAAAAAGATTATGAAAAGATATTTGGGCAAAATATCCAGTTCTCGTTTTTATACACTGCAATAAATAGTTACCTTTTGAAAGATTGGTGTTGTGGAACCGGGCTCACGAATCGAGAGAATGAATTGATCAGCCTGAGAATGATTGTATTTTCAAAGTTTTTACCATCATACATGATTCAAAAAGGTTTACTAAAAAAACCAAAGCCAATTCTCACCGGGATCACATCGATTTTGTGCTCAATGAGACCGGGTCGTAGTCCAAACTTGCAGAAACCGCCTCGAAAATCTCGTCCAATCGATCCAGCTCCAATTCCGCCACAAGGAACGCCTAAAAAACCATAAATAAAGAAAAGTTTTGATACACTAGAACTCAAACCTACCATAGTACGGTTTGTGTTGAAGTGGTTCAAAGGTGTTGATGAAGAGCTTCTCTTTCTTGTGCACATGTCGAACCCAGTAGAGAAAGTAGCGCCGAACAAATGGAAGAGCATCAAAAACCTAAAAGAATAGATTTCAATGATTGAATGAAGATCTCCAAGTTATTTAATTATTTCTGTTTTTAACTTATCATAAATCTTACTTGTCTCGGTGTAGGCCTGTTGAATGGGACACGTCGTTCTTTCGGGCGTCGATCACCTCGTGCCTTCCATCCGATGCCCGTCAATGTTGCTGGTAAAGCTGGTGTCGATGACATCTAAAAAGATGTATTAAAAACGTAAAACAAATTTGATATTTAAGCTAAAAATCTCAACAATTAATTAATAGAACTTTACAAAAGTCATTGAAAACCGATAAATAATCCGGTGCTATAGTAGTTCGGGGGGTCAGTTTGTAAACACCGGTTTTTTCGAACTTGCCACTAGCTTTAGAAACTTTTTCTGGGGTAATTAATTGCACTGAATCCATCGCAAGCATTTATAAAGCATTGCAAGCATTCTGAGCAACTTTTATGCCCGTTTGAGCAACAATTTCAAGCCTTCAAGAGTGGCTCTACTGGGTTTAGAGGTGCGGGACCGAATTAAGTGGCTTAAAACCTGAGTAACTGATTGAAATGCTAGAAAACAGTTACTAAAGCTTAAATAAATAACCATTGAAGAATCTATGCCATTAAAAACCCTAGAAGGGAAAAATTAGTGCGCTCTAGCTCAATAGAGATGAATGCACACTGCCATAAGCCCGCAAACTACTATAGCACCAATAATCCAATTTCTCCTTCACTATAATGTTCTCCTTCAGGAGAATAATGCTCCTAGCCCAATAAAGAACTAAGTTCTTAAACTCTTCAAATAAACTCACTTTGTTATCCGCTGTTGTTTCATTCTTTTTCGGAGCAGTGATGACCGCACGGCACATAACGAGGCGACTCGGCGAGAAGGAATTATCTATGGTGGCTCCTTTGTATCGCCGAATGATTTGAATTCCTATCTGTAAATCAGAAAGATTTCAGAAATCAGAAAAAAATGATAAGAAATTAATTGAAATTGAAATTGAAATCAAATCAAATTGAAAAATAAGATTCAAAAATCAAAAAATGAATTTATTTTGAAACACCTTTCTCGAGACAAAAAGGCGTCAACAAAAACAGACCCAAATATTCACATAAAAGTTTTTGAGAGTCAAAATGCCTAGAGACAGCAATAAGTCATCCCGGTAATCTTTTTAGGGTCGTAAAACTTGAGAAATTTTCGCGGAATTGAGATAAAATTTGGTGATTAAAGGGGGAAATGAATGAAATGAATAATGAAAAGCGTTGTGTGATGTTTATAAATGAGGGAAATGTGAAATATTTTCGTCGAGACACAGCAAATTTTTTTTGATGCTATGGGAGAAAGCCGCAGAAGAGACCAATCAATTTCAGAGTTGCAATTTTGGGAGAATTTAAAAGAAAAAGCTAATCCGATTAATTTCATTCACGGGGATTTGAAAAGGGAATCCATTTCCGATTTGCAATTTTTTTGAAATTCCTATTCTATTTACATTTTATTTGTTAATTTGTATTTAAACTTAAGGATTCTTCAAAAATCTATCACAACAACAAAAGGAAATGCATCTTTTCTAGAACTAGACATATAATCTCATTGATTTTCTCATCAAAAGCCACGTTTAAAGACGATTCAACACCTCAAAAATGCTACTCTAGATTCTAGACTCTAGAAAATGCTACTCTAACACACCAAAGCTGGATAGAATCTCGAAATCAGCCACACTATGGATGCAAATTGTATACAAACCTATAAACTATGAATGCAAATCCGCCGATCCGCCAAATTCCGCCAAATTCCAACGTTTATCAAAATTTCTAATAGAAAAAAAGATCAGTTCCAAGAAAAACAAAGGGAAAAAGCAACAAAAACAAGTTTTCCTTCGAGAATCAGTGTCAAAACTTCTCACGTTAAGGCAAAGTCCAGTTCCAAAAGCACGCGAAAAGCAAAGAAAAGGATTGACGATAGGAAAGAGAAGAAAAGAAATAGCTCCCCTAGGTCTTGTCTGTGTCTCTTCTATTTACTCGATCTCATTTTTCCCCATTCTTTTCTCTGTCCCACTATTCCCACTCGTCGAATGCATGTGAAGGGATCAATAGGTGCAAAACGAGACAACCAAGACGAAGACGAAGAAGAGTGAGAAAAACGAGGTAAACGATGTGAACACGATCGAATATTCAAAGAGACAAGGCAAAACGGCGCTTCTTTACACAAAATCGATTTCCCTTGAGATCCTCAGTTTACCTGAAAGTAAAGTAAGTTACCTGAATATCTTTAGATATTCAATTTTACAAGCTTTTGAATATTTGATCAAGTCAATGATCAAATATTCAAAAGAAAAGCCAAAAAACCGATCATTGCCAAAAAGATTGCTCAGCAACCTCTGACAACTCATTGTGTATGATTCATCCTAAGCAAAAAATTCTGTCTAGTTTTAGAAATTGATAAGGTCGACGGGGTCAATATCGGAGAATTATACTCCAAAAATTGACAGGGGAAAAAATTTCAATACCGTTGCCTCTATTTGTTAACTTTTCAAATTCCATGGGCCGTTGTGTAAACATGTTTTCCCTCAAATCACTCTATTTACTGAGAAAAAGAACTTGACACCTTTGCGATTAAAATCAGTTTCAGAGTTTGCCCTTTTGGTCGAATCGAATTAGACTATGTTTCTCTTGAAAGTAACCTTTTTTTTAAAAGACGCCCTATAGAGCTACAGTAACTCCGCTTTCCGGAATAGTATTAGGCTGTCCAGAAAATCTTTTCTTTTCTTTTCGTATTTCCGTTTAAAACCAACAAATGCACTAATGGAACTACGATTTGTTTCATTAGAAAGGTCAATTATTTTTTCTGCAAAATAACATTAAAACGGGTTTAAAATGTCTTGTGTGGATTTTTTTTGGGAGCGTGAAGACGGGTAGTCAAAAAGGGCGACGGGTAGATGATTCGATTTAGACACTTTAGCTAAAGAAACCCATCTTCGTGTCAATAGATAAAAGATAGAGCACACAAAAAAGCTGGATATATAGCAAAATTTTCAGAAATTCATTCAGTCAATTTATTCGTAGAGGTTTTTATAGATTTTTACGAAAAACACGTATTTTCACTCCCGAATTTGCTTGAAAGTGAACCGAAATTGACTTTAAAAAGTAGAAATTGAACCATAAACCATAAACACTTCTTATTTAGAACAAACCAAAGGTTAATTGGTGAATTTGCTATTTTTCAACGGAGCTACGAAAAGGAACGAAAAGACTATCTCAAAAATCCAGTACAGCGATAAAATAACCCTAACCAGTCAACTTCACCACAAATTTTCTGACAAGGAATATTTATTACGATCATAACAACACAGAATAGTTTAATATAAACTCATACAGAAAAAATACACATAAAAGCACAACCAAAGATTGAATATCACATAGGATTTACGATCGAAAATGTACATATTATCATCGCACTAAAAAAGACATAAATGAATGAAATTGTAACAAGTAAAAGAGTGAAAACGGTAAAGTTTTTAAAAAGAAACTCGTGCACTAGCATTTTTTTCCTATTGTAAAATACTTGAAAAGGAATCTGATCAGTGTAAAAAAATAGGGTTGACAATTCTTTGATAAGTTACCCAGAGAAATTATGTTAAAGTTTCACAGAAAGAAAATGACTACTTACCCAAAGTTCGAGAAAAAGACATATCGTCTTTATGATCACGAATCATAAACTTAAGATAGACCAGGCAGCGAGTTAACTTCTCCTTGAATGGTGATCGATGAGCCATTGAGGGTGAAAGTTGCCCGAGTACGCATTCGCAACTAAAAGCCAAAAAGTAGCATTAACAACTAATAAAATTATAATACCGTTTGTCCATCCGCCACTTTTTTGATGCGCATTCGTTGAGTAATTTGTGGTTGAGCACCATTCAAACCAAGATCGCTTCCAGATGCAGCTTGAAGCTCGACTTGATAAGCCTAAAGGAAACAAATGAGATTGTACATTCACTCAAAAAGAATGTTATCGCCGAGCTTTCAAGCAAAACTTACTTTCGTAACGGCGGCTTGAAAAACGAAATTCTCGACTTTTGCTGAATTATTGTTGACCACGGAAAGCAGTAGTTCGGCTGGTTGGCCTAAACTGAGCTTGTACAAAAGTAAAATTAAATGACCTACCTCCAATAAAATCTTTCTCAACAACAAGCTTAGCCTCAATTCCATTTGAATTCAATGCCATAACTCCGGGATTTGAGGGCGGTGCACTAAAATTTCTTGCTAATAGAATAAACTAAATAAGCTTTAACCTTTTCTGTGTAGTTCCTCCTCCTAAAAAGTCAAATGGATCCGCGTTTGTTGATGGATTTGGTGAAATGTTTGCCGTTGATAGCGGGTTCGACACCGACAATCCACCAAGAGCTATAAATTATTTCTGTAAAAATATGGTAAAAATAATGCATTTACCTCCTCCAAGCAAATCGTCTAGACCATTAGCGATGGTAGCAGGTCCAGAAGAGCTTGGAATTCCTCCACCACCAATCAAATCGAAAAGATCATTGCCAGCATTCTAAATTATAAACTTTCCCAAGTTTAAATTCATCTCATTTATAGATTTTGTAGCTATATCCAAAACAAACCAGAGATGGAGCTGCTTGTACACCAGGCATAGAATTCGAATCCAACGAGAGGCCGCCCAAAAGGTCCGCATTCGTCGTGATCAAGTTTCCACCATCGTTCGAGTTGGTTGTCACCTCCATCATGCTTTCTAAATCAACATTTGAAGCGCCTTTCAGTAATGCGAACCATCAATCGGAGCAGCAGCGGCATTCAGTGAGTTTTGTTGAATGATCGGCATCCGTTCAAGTAGACCAAACCTGAATAGATTCAAATAGTTGCGAAATCAAAATTTAAAATACTTTAAATCTCCAGCATCAACCACGCGATTGAACTCAATAGATCTTTGTTGTAACTCCAAGTGAATGTGCGCCTGGTTTGCTCCAATCAAAGCCTGAACCCGTGGGAGAGTTGACGAGAATCGCGTTGCTAAAGAAAAGATTTAGTGCTCATTTAAACAACTTCCAACTTACCGAGCTTTGCCAGGGCTGTTACTCCGTAACATTTTGTAACCAACGACGTAAGAGTGGAGGGAATGACAAGCTCAAACACAGACACAACCTCCCCTTCCTCTATCTAAAAATAATCATTCGTTTTAAAGTGCTTAACCAGCGTCAAAATAAAGTTAGCTTGCCAAAATAAAACACACCCTCGACGAGTCATCATCACTCGGCTGTAGAAGCAAATCTCCAAATTCTCCAATAGACCAGAATGCGACCTGGGAATTAAAAATACTTCGAAAAAAGTAACCGCGTTTACTTGTAACAACGGTTGAGCATTTGTGACATCTTGAGCTTGAATCGATCGGAAAAGTCGAACAGCAGCATAATGTTGAATGGAAGGATGCGAAGAAACTAGTTGAATCATACAGGAGACCACTTCATCCGGAACATGATTGCCGGCCTAAAAAACAAGTAATGCACTGTATTGGAACGATCGCATACCAATTCGAGCACTTTAATCATCGTATCAAGATGCCATTCCTGCGATGGAGAGAAGCGTTCTGTTGCAACATACATTTTCGAAGCACATTCGGCTGGAAAGATAGGGGGAAACTAGTCTTCTGCAATGGAAACTCCCTTACATTTGAATTCCGGGTCAGCTGTGTCCAAGAATATCAAAATTTCCTTTGTCATGTGAGTAATATTCGTCTTATTGATGAGCGCAAAGCAAAGTTCCATAGCACGTCTAAGTAAAAATAATTTTGATGATCCTTAGGTAACCAACTTTCTAATCGAAATGTCCGGATCTTTCAAACAGTCGACAACAGTTGTGCGATGACGCTGCACAGCCTAAAAATACACCGAATAAGAACCCACGAACTATCAAACCTGATAATCGACAGCGACAGTCTTCAATAATGTGTTCAAAGCAACATAGCGAATGTTCTTATCCGGATTTAATAAGAAACGTCCGAGAATGTTAACGGCCAACACACGCAAGCCACTGAAATATCAATATGAACGTAGTACTTACAATTGAAAAGATCTTAAATAATCAAAAATGTAATTTGCCTTTCACTACGAATCTCCATAATTGTGAGCACCGTTTCATAGAGAATAGCATTTCCAACATTTTTAGCGGTTTCAGTGTTCGTAGCAACCTAAACATTCCAATATTAAACTTTGTAATTAAACGATTACTTGAGCAAGAATATCATTCATTTCTTCGGTCGCTTTTGGATCATCTTTGCCGAGAACACGTAGCAAACGCAGAAGTTTCACCTCAACTTGGTATGTATTAGGAAAAACAACGCAAAACGTACTTGAAGAAATGGATCGCTGATTCCGGTGACATCGTGTTCTGGTGAATAGCCACTCATAAGAAGATTTTTGAGAATTCTCACCAAGCTCGGCACTAACTAAAAGAGCAATTGCATATTACAACCAATTTCATTAAAAGAATAACCTTTTTGAAATGATTCAGCACATCGGGACTCCTTTCACACATTTCTGTCACAAGCGTCGTGGCACCCATCAGAACACCGTGGTTCTTTTCGCCCAACAATGAACGAGTGCAACTGATAAAGACCTCCATTAGCTCTGGAACTTTTCGCACAATTCGAAATGCGCAAAGTGCTGCCTAAAAAGATTCATTAAAAATGTTTTGATTTAAATGGTTTACCTTCTTTTTGATGTAAGCATTGCTACTTTTCACAAGCCTTTCAATCTGAAACAGAAAAATTGATCGAGTAGCTGAAAAAGAAAACAAACCTCGTTAGCCAAATCTCTGCACATTTCAGACGAGCAAATCGATCCAAGAGTGCACAAAGCAAGTCCAGTAACAAATTGCGTTTGCGAATTGAGATCACTAAATTTTGGTGATAATGCAACAAGATCGATGTACATACTTTTTGAGAGAGTTTGTGACAAGCAAATGTACTTCACTTCGCTCGTCCAAAAGTAGCATTGCACCGAGGTATCCGATTCGTTTGTCGGTGAAACGTGGTTGAGCAACTAGTTTCATACATTCCATCTAAAATATAGTATTTATAATAGTACTAAAATAAGATTTTTTTAAAGCTTGCCTGTCCAAAATGAGCAGGATATCCAAGCATGTGAATGTAAAGAAGCTTTGCGATGTTTCGGCACTTCCAAGGAGATTCGTCATCACTAAAGAATATGAATAGTCACATCTTTACAGAAAGTTAAACAAGTATTTGATTTTCTCACAAACCCAAAAAAGTCAAAGTTCCCACCGAAAGCTTTCCCGAATGTTGGCACTTTCTCTATCCACCACCGCTCGTTCTTCAGCCATCGTTCTCGCGGCTCGAACTTGTCGAATCAAATCACGTAACCTCATCGGAGTTCCAAGGGTTCTAAAGGTCAAAAGTCAATTAAAAGTATGATGAAGTAAATTCAAAAGTATAAGTTTTACCTTCCAAGTCGACTCTTCACCTCATCGATCTTTTCGATCATCGTTTCGACGGCGGTTGCCATCTTGATGGAAGCAGCTGGAAATTAAAAAATTAAGTAAATTCCAAATCAAAAAGAAAGGCAACGGAAAGTAATAACATTTCAATGAATTTTGGGCATTCGTTTAATGCGGTGGCCAAAGGGGAATAATTCATTGTCCAGCAAAACGTTAATGCCTTGTTATCTAAACACACCACTCTATAACTTTCCTTGTGAACAAGGACCGGTTGGACAAAAGAAAAGAAACGATCGGCTCCTCTGCACAGCGTTACGTGGAGAAATAGTGGAGGAGAAAGAGATAAAAATGCCAAGGGACCGGATGAATGGCATAAAAAAGGATGCGCCTATACTCGGTTATCTAACTGACACTTGTAGTTAGCGATACTAACAACTTGAATAAATCTCAACGGTTTTACTTTATGTATCTGCCTAAACTTCATATACTGAACGGTCACTGATCATTTCATGCAAAGAAAATCATCACATACAATATATTTATTGGCAAACACTATTGATCGTTGATAAAGCAACCAAATTGATTTATTAAGCCAATCCACAAGCAAAAAAAATGAGTCCGGTAAATTGGTAAAAAAAGAGCGGTCACCTAAAGTTTTGTATGGAAAATTTATAACTAGAAAGAAAAATAGGCGTTTTTGTGTTCAAGTCTTTGATCTAAACATCGAGCCTTTATGAACAAAATGGGGAAGCCAACCTGGTACTTGCCTTCCATTTAACTTTTTGCCGGAAGAGCGTTGTAATAATGACTTCTCTAAATGCTAATTTGTGTAATAAATTTCAGAAAACAAATCCAACATCTTGATCCGACCCAAAGGTAGCGCGGTAGAGGGTGCTGGAGTCTTAGCATCGGGAGGAGGAGCTGCCCTAAAAGAATGACCTAATCAGGCTGAAACTCACCATTTGAACTTTGCTACCTTGTTATTAACCACCGCGGGGGTGCGTCCTTCATACAAATTACGCGCAAAAAAACTAGTTTCATTTTGCAAAACACACTCTCAAAAACGGTCGAAATGCAGGAGTCCCTTTTGAGCACCGCCACTTGTTTCTTCGGGTCTTGAGGTTTAAATTACCGATATAATAAATAATACTAAATAAACCTGGTTACCCCTTCGGATCGGCATTTTCTCCACCCTCCTCATCTTCCCTAAAATTGAAGAGTGAAACAAAAATACGTTTAAAAACTCACTTTGAAGCTACCTTCTGCAAGTTGTTCTTGTTTCCCCTCTTGTGATGCGGTACTGCGTTTGTGCTAAATCAAAGTTAGAGGCAAGGAAAGAGGCGCAAGCACTTACGTTGGCTTCTTGGCCTTTTCACGCGCCTTACTAAATGAACAAAAGTGATTGGATTTTGAGGAACAAAATTAAGTAAGTAGTAATTTAACAATACAAAATATTTACTCCTTATCGCGGCTTTGCTTGCCATCCAACTACGACGATCCAAGCTCTTTACTAAAACACAACAATAGGTACCGTAATATCTATAATGGTAGGTTTCCCCCTATAATGACGGGGTATCGCCGCGTAGCCTTCGGTGTTGTTCACATCAATAGGCTTGCTGAACTTGGTTTCCGCTAATTTAACCATATCTTCAAGAGCTTGAAGATATGCCTAAAATTAAAAATTTTCCAATTAATTGTAGTATTTTACCTGAATAATGATAGTTGGATGAATGCGTTGCTCCAAAAAGACGTGGGCTTTCGACATGATTTCTCCAGCAAGAACTATCACCAAAGTTGTACCATCTCCAGTCTCTTCATCCTACAAGCAAAACTGTTCGAACTATAAAATTTAATATATACCTGAGTCCTAGCAATATCAATCATGCTTTTTGCTGCCGGGTGCTTAACCGTGATTTCTCTAAACAAATCGAGCGTCAACATTTACTACTTCCATTAATACCTCAAAATCGCGTTCCCGTCATTTGTCCTGACAATACCTCCCATTGGATCCATAAGCATCTTTAACATTGCTTTCGGTCCCAAAGCTGTTCGAATCACATCGGCAATTGTCTAGAAATAAAGAGAAACAAAGAACTTTACACGCTCCGTTCTCCGCGCTACAGTGTGCGCTTGGGTGTCAAATGATAGCCCTTGAAACCTAGTATTTTTAGTACCAAAAGTGTGGTTGGGAAAAATCTAGGGGCTGAGAAAAAAAATTATTTTCTAAAAAGAAGTTAGACTACGCGACTGTACGGGGGCGGGGGCGCTACTATTACTATGGTATTACGGTGCAAACGTAATCTCAAAAGTTATAGTTCACCCTAACAACAAAGATTAGTGCTCAAAATATTATAGCTCAAAGAAATCAAAAACATTCATTTAAACACTTCACCTTCTCTCCTCGAATGACGCTTCTGCTCTTTCTTTCCAAAAATTGATGCAGATTTGGCAAAACGACGTTCAAAGCCTCACTTTCGACCTCTGTCTTATTTGAATTTGAAATCGCTCTGAAACGTAAAAATGTAAACCAATAAAAAAAACTTGCCTTGAGTTGACCAAATATAAGTGGGGGAGAAAATACCAAGTGATGATCCACGTCAGTTTTCATTATTTAAACAAACTATAAATGCTAACTTTTCAAAAATTATTACTGTCAACATTTTAGGCAGTGACCTGAATAACTTCTCCCTTAATTGTGCTTATAAAACCACGCCTTTATTTGAAATTTTTTCAGTTGTTTGATTGAATATTCTCAAGTTTAAGGACACAAACTGCTGGAGTTTTTCCAAAAAAAATTATTTGCACGTTTTGCTCTTTCACATTTTCTGGCCAATGATATCGCCAAAGTTAAAGTTTTAGTTGGTTTTTACTAAAGCCATTCATTTCTAAACTAATCTATGCTCTCGAAGTGATTTGATTTTCTTTGTTGTTCTCCAAGACCGAGTAATATTTTATCTTGCAGGTATAGCAATCCTACAACTGCAATGTCAGAAACTAAGGAGCAGCTCGTTCAAAAAGCCAAACTCGCCGAACAGGTATTATTTTTTACATGCTACTTGTTGTGTAGTCTACGGTTGGTGCTTTTGTTTGGTTAGGAGAAGATGCAAGAAGGCGATGAGAGTTTTAGAATAAAGTTGGCAGATGACTGGTATTAATTTTTCTGGGTTAGGCTGAGCGTTACGAGGACATGACTCGTGCGATGAAAGAATTCACGGAGCTTGGTGGAGAGTTGTCGAACGAGGAACGCAATCTGCTCTCGGTCGCCTACAAGAACGTGGTTGGATCGCGCCGATCTTCGTGGCGTGTGGTCAGCGCAATTGAGCAAAAGGTGGAGGGGAACGACAAGAAGCAAGAGCTCGCAAAAGAATATCGCGAGAAGATCGAAAAGGAGCTACGCGATATTTGCTTGGAAGTTTTGGTAGGTTTTGGCATTAACGTTTAGTGTACATTTGCTTATAGGATTTGCTCGACAAGCACTTGATTGCAAAGGCTGAGAATGTTGAGAGCAAAGTTTTCTACCTCAAGATGCAGGGCGACTACTATCGCTACTTAGCTGAAGCAGCCTCGGGAGACGAGCGTCAAGGTATCCTTTTATTAAAATGGCTTATAACTTTGTTTCTGTTTAGGAGTGGTTCAGAAATCTGAGCAATCCTACCAGAAAGCTCTCGACTTGGCCAAAGAACAGATGCCGCCCACTCATCCAATTCGACTCGGACTGGCACTCAACTTTTCTGTATTCTTTTACGAAATCCTAAATGCTCCTGACAAGGCTTGCATTCTTGCAAAACAGGTAATCGATTCAAACAAATTTTAAAATAGTACAAATCTTATGTAGTTGCTGAGTTCAATTTTTAGGCTTTCGATGATGCCATCGCTGAACTGGACTCACTCAACGAAGACTCATACAAGGATTCGACTCTTATCATGCAGCTTCTTCGCGACAATCTTTCCCTGTGGACGGAGAACGCCGATGACAGCCAGACCGAAGAGCAGCCAGAACAGCCAACAATGGAATAAAGACGTGAAAATAGATTCATAATTACTTTTTCTGATTTTGCTAATATCATCGTGTTTATCCTTTTGTTGTCTTTTTCCCTCTGTTTCTCTTAGGTTTTTGTGTTTTGGGGTCGTATTCTGACCTGTTATTTGCAAATGTTAGTTTAAAATTTTAAGACAATAAAGTTATCAAAATCAAATGCTTCAAGTTAGTGGTAGAGAGGTTAATCGGCCTTTGGTTTTTTAAAATTGCTATCTGAGTTTGCGATTGCCATTTTGGAGATGAAGTACTGAAATGCGAGATTTGAGCCAATAAGCATTTTTGGTTTTCAGAAAGCAATCTTTTTCGACAAACATGGCCAGGACGAAGGATGTGAAGAAAGTAGCAGCAGTCGCGGCTCCAGCTACAACTCCAACTCTAGCTACAACTCTAACTCCAGTTCCAGCTCCAGCTCCAATTCCAACCACCACCGCAAGTGCACCAAAGAAGAAGGGACGCAAGTTGAGAGACAGCAAGGATGGAAAGAAGAAGAAAGCTGCGAAGGATAACGGCTTTTCGATCTACATTCATCGTGTGCTCAAACAAGTACACCCGGACAACAAGATTAGCACAAAGGCAATGTCGATCATGAACTCGTTCTGCACTGATATCTTCGAGCGCATCGCTTCGGAAGCATCTCGTCTCAAAACACTCGACAAGCAACACACGATCTCTTCCCGTGACATTCAAACTGCTGTTCGTCTCGTTTTGCCTGGAGAACTCTCAAAGCATGCCGTCAGCGACGGAACCAAGGCTGTCACCAAGTATGCCGCTAGCAAGAACTGATCACTCAATTGTTTTTACTTTGTTCACTTCGGATGTTACCGTTCTCTTGTCTGCAATTTTCTAATGGATTTTGATTTGATTGATTATAAAATTTAGAAATGTCGGGTAGCATCGTCTCGCTCGCAATCAAGGAGGAAGATGCGATGAAATTTCTTGCCTCGCAAACGCATATCGGAACGCCCAACGTTTCGCTCCATATGCAGCAATACGTCTACAAACGGCGCTCGGATGGTAAATTTTTGTTTCATTACTTTCAATTAAGATATTTTCAGGTACGCATATCATCAACTTGAACAAGACATGGGAAAAGTTACTTCTCGCTGCTCGAGCCATTGCTGCGATTGAGAATCCAGCTGATGTTGTTGTCGTCTCGGCTCGTCCCTTTGCCCATCGTGCACTGATGAAATATGCTGCTCACACTGGAGCTACACCAATTTTCGGACGCTTTGCTCCGGGAGCGCTCACGAATCAAGTGCAAAAGAACTACCGTGAGCCAAGAGTGATCATCATTTCTGATCCGACTATCGACCATCAGGTTCTTTTGTTGCTTTGTTAAATTATTCATTCTTTTTATAGGTTGTCACTGAAGCTTCTTACGCCAACGTGCCAGTGATCAGCTTTGTCAATACGGATTCACCACTGAAGCTTGTCGACATTGCAATTCCATGCAATAACAAGGTAAAATGTTGAAAGCGTAGAATAATGTTTTGTTTTAATGTATTGCAGCTACTAACTAGTCTTATTTAGGGTGCTCAATCTTTGGGACTAATGTGGTGGTTCTTGGCTCGTGAAGTGCTGAGCTTGAGGGGAAAAATTTCACGCCAAACGGGCTTTTTTTTGGATGGACTCGAGGTGATGCCCGATCTCTACTTCTTCCGTGATCCAGCAGAACAAGAGAAGGAAGAAGCGCAACAAGAAGCTGCTGCTGCCGCTGAGCGAGCTCAAACTGAAAGTGCTCACGTGTACGAAGGACCAATCGACTTTGCCGCTCAACCAGAAATCAAGGATTGGGCTGCCGAAGCTGCCACGGACAATTGGGCTCAGCCCGCTGCTGCAGGAACAGGTGGAGATTGGAATCAAGCAACCACGAACAACTGGTAAAAGCTTATCTACGTCGTGATCCAAATGTTGTTTTCCTTCTTTTGGTTGTGGTTAATTGTTCATTCTTTTTCAATAAATTGTTACTTAAAACGCACAGATAAATGAGCCAATGGAACGAAAAATAAGCGATGAAACGGAGGATTCTTTGAATTCGATGTGTACTGGATGCAAATTTTTAGATTTTAGAAAGCTTTTAATCACAGGAATAAATATAAGCACCGGCTAAAAATAAACACTGTATGATAGTTTATTTCACAAATGTGGCATCAATTTGTGACACTTGGGGAAGAGCGAGCTTTACCTAAAAAGCAAATACGTTTATGCCTGCTACTACGGATAGTTATCACCAAATTCAAACCTTTCTCCTGTAGCCGGTCATATCCGAATGATAGATTGGATTCCGCTCAAAATAAACGGTTTCCAAATTGGCCAAATCCTTGAGCTTTTCGATTTCTTTCCAATTCTCGATCTTGTTGTCATTTGCCTAAATGCCACCATCAATCATATTTCCGTGAAAAGATTACCCAAAAATCAGTAAGCTCGGTCAATGATTCAATTCCAGAAAGTTCCTTCAGCTGATTATTGCCGACATCAACAACCTCCAAATTTTTCTAAACTGGGCAATAATAAAAGCCAAGATATTTGAAACCGACCAACGCGCTAACTCCGCTCAAGTCGTCAATTCCTTGATCACTTAGATGAATCTCTTTCAATTTCGTCATTGTTTGCACATTTTCTACTTTCACAAGTCGATTACCCTAAAACATAAAAGTTTCATTTCCAAATAACCATAACTTACAGGTACACTTAGAATATTTAGCTCCGTCATATGGGCAATTCCTTCAATTTGACGAATTTTGTTCTTTCCTGAAAATGAATATACCGATAAAGCGAAACTGCTGAAACACCCACCCAAATATAGTCGCCGAATTTTCCTCAAATTTTCCAAGTTTTCAATTTTCCGAATTTCGTTATCGCCAAGTTCAAGTATTTCCAGGTCAATCAACGTTGACAATCCCTAACAATTAAATGAAATCAAATTTAAAAGATTGATTGAACTCACCTCAATAACTTTGATTTTATTGTGAACGAGGTAAAGCGTATCCAATTTCGTCAAATTTTCAAGTCCTTCAATTTTCGTGATTCTAAAAGACAAAATTTGCATTAACCAAGAAAAAGTGACCTGTTATAACTCAAATCCAATTTCTCCAGGTTCACCAAATTTTGAAGCCACTCGATTTTCGTGATTTGATTCTCGTATAGATCCAACTCAGTCAACGCCACAACATTTGAGATCGACGGTGAGATTTCCTTCAGCAAATTACTCCGCATTACCAATCCCTGTAAAAAAACTCATTTAAGAGGCAAAATCATAAAGAATCTCACTTCTAAGCTCGTGAATCTGGACAAATCCGGGATGTGATCGGCTCGCGTTTGTGTGATGTTGATTTCCTGGAAACAAAACCACAATCCTATGTTTGGTGCAGCAAATTTATTAATATACCCACAATTTTTGCTTAAAATAAACTGTAAAACAAACCGGCTCATCGTCTGCGAAATTTGCCATATTGAATAAATTTCGCGCGCTCGTTTCTTCCACATTTCCCACTTCTCCTTCTTCAACAACGTCTGGCACGGACATCTAAATCAATTTGTGTTTTATGTACAAAAAAGAAAACGAAACTAGAAAGCATCGATAAATAACAAACAAAATAGGTAAACTATGACTAAATCAAATAAATCTCCTCATTTCTTTTCGAATGGATCTCGCCACACGTTTTGTCCCTGTGCAAGTTGTTCTTTTGTTGCATGTAGTAGCGCTCTTTCTTTCGTCTGTGCTTCAGCATAGTAGTCGTGATTCAACTTCGGATAGATTCCAACAGCGAAGAAACCAAATCCCGTAATTGTCACCACCGAAATGACCGCCCATGTGCCGAGGGGTAACGCGGCTAATCGATTTATGACCGGGAACGCCTTTCGTATTCGTAGACTCAACGTCAGTGGTGCTCCTTTGGGTAATCGCATCTGAAGTTTATTCTTGTTTCCTTGCGAAGATCGATCAAGTCTAAATGTAAAGAGTTTTGATAGATAACTTCAGGTATTTCATGGTGTTTTCGAAGCTTTCAAAAGGGAGCGCAAAATAAAGCGGACAGATGAGTAAAAGACGCAAATAGGAACTTCAATAGCTAATATAAAGAGTAGTTGTGAACATTCGATTGGATATTCGTTTTAAACTTGTGATCAAGGTAACAAATTCATTAAATAAGATTTTGATCATAGAAAAATCACACGATCGAATACTTTATTAAACATTTAATGAGTGCAACAATTAATTAATGACATCGTGTGTCAAAAGTATGCGAGTAATTAAATAACAAGTTTCAAAGTATTTCTTGGTAAACTGAGATCTTTCTGAGAAGAAACGTTGAAAAGGGTCGAATATTAATGTATTCTAATAAAAGCGTATGCGCTTCTATTAGAGGCCCCGTTAAGCCCTGTCCACTCACGTCAGGAGAAAAAGTTACACCAAAAATTAAATTTTTAAGCTATGACCATAAATTTGATGTAAAATAATAGAGTGAAAAATTCTCTTTCTTTTGACATCAAACTCACGGGCATAGGTTACAAATTAAATTTTTGGTGCAACTTTTTTCTCCTGACGTGAGTGAGCGTGGCTTAAGGGGCTTGATTCTAATAGAAGCGCATGTGCTTCTATTAGAATAAATACGATATTTCTAAAACTGTCGTGCGCTTTGCTGGTTTTCCGGATTCTTTACGTTTTCTGAAATGAAATTATTAGGAGGCGACAGCTTTGAAATACACACATTAAAACTTTAAAACAATTAAATGCTTTAAGCTGTTTTTAGTTTAATTGCTGGCAAAATGATAAAGTTAATCACCAGAAGCTATAACTAGAGTTCCATATACTCAACGAATGAACAAAAAGCAACAGCTAACTTACTGATTCTCTTCACTGGGCATTTTCTTTGCTTGTGCGCCGAGGGGAGCTGCATCAGTCTTCTCTTCTGACCGCCTTTGCCACTCTGTTGTTGTTCTCATCGGTGGCAGGTCTAAATGGCAGATAGGTAATCAAATGTTAATGAGAATGAGATTTAGCATTCATTTATCACGACTAAATCGGCTTTTTGACTTAAACTTAGGTTGGTACTGCCGTACAGGCCTTGTAATTAGATTTAGCGGGCCCTAGTCAAAATAGCTCCAAATTTAAAGATTTTAATGTAGATTAACCAACGCTCTTTTGGAGCTTTCAATAAACAGCTTAGTTTTTTGTGCATTTTCAAATAAAATAGTAGATGAAAACTAGTTTCTTCAATTAACGAGATTAAAAAAATTAAACAACGGAGTACCACAGTGTATCACACTTATCTAAAAGTAGAAACTAGAGACAATATGTTAAACAAAATAATAAATACCTCTTGTGTTTCTTTGAATGACAGCCAGGTCGTAGCGTGCTCGTTGGTGACAGAAAGGAAAGTCGCTTCATTTTTATGCATCCTTCCCCGGCAGTGTTTTCGTACAACTAAAATAAAACTTCAAAATGTTCAACGAGAAATATACAACAAAACTAGTAAAAAAAATTACCGATAAGCTGCAGCTACCCCTTTTCGGATTGCTTTATCCTTCCGATACTCGTGTCCATCTTCATCGTAAAGTAGCACTCCACCTTTCTGAGATAGTGACATCCCTAAATCAAAAAAAGATGTTGAGAAACAAAAATATTGCAGAAAGAAAAGAAAAGAGTAAAAACTAGCTTAATCTCTCTTAATCTTAAAGCTTAATCCTCCCGCAAACTTTTTAGCAACAAAAAGTACCTGTGATTGTCGCTAGCCACGTTGAATCACTTGCAACTTGTATTCTATTCCATCAGGTGATGTTCTTTTACCTGAAAAACACAAAATTATGTACCAAGAACAGTGAAAACAAGAAAAAAACGATGAAAACAAAATGTTTATCTAAAATGGACCATAAAACCTGATTCTAATGATGAAATAATGTGTCGGTTTGCTTAAAACACGCGCTAGATCCTTAAAAATGTTTTAAAATTAAAAAGTTACAAATTATTATGAAAAGTATAAAAATGTTGGGGTTGAAAAATCTAATCGCAGTCTTTTTCAATTTGGCGCTATTTTTATATGGGCGCTGTTTTGGTGGGGCTATTTTGACTAGGCCCCGATTTAGCAGTCTTTAAAAAACAAAATCGAGGGGGTAGGCTAATTTCCGCCATTTTATTTGCGCAACTCGCCATAACTTTCTTCTAAGCGGGCCAATCTTTATGATTTTCATAAAGATTTTGGTGTCATTTTGTAGATCTCAATAAGTGCAACAAAATCATAAAGATTGACGGACTTAGAAGAAAGTTATGGCGAGTTGCGCAAATAAAATGACGGAAATTAGCCTACCCCAAATAGAGTCAAAAGGGGTCGTTAACACATTCGCGACGAGGCGTTTTTTTTGCGTTACTGCCCCAGTGGACGAAGGGTGTCTCGCAAAGCTATTAGCCCCGAAATACACCACCTCCTACCATAAATACTGTAATAGTACCCCAGCCCCATAATGACGGTGCGGAGTGTTGCGTAGTCTAGCTTTGAACGAGGCTTTCTCGACACTGGTTTATGCTACAATGCGCGCTTGGGTATCAAAAAATAGCTGAAATTCAGGGCTATTTTTTCATACCAAAGACGCATTTTTTGAAAGTACGGGGGCTTTGAAAAAAATGAAATACGAAAAAAACTTTTGCGACTACCGACTACGCGACTGTACGAGGGGGGTGGGGTACTATTACAGTATTTACGATATATGTAAAATTTCATACTGAATCCGAATCTCTAATCATATTTTGAAAATATTGCTGCCTCAAAAAGAACTAATCGAATCTTTTTACATTTTGAACTTATCCTAAAAAGTTGAGAAGTTATAGCGCGTCAAAAATTTCGTCCACCGGTGGACTGAACCGTCCCAGGGGCCAGAAGGCCGTCGTCCACCGGTGGACCGAACCGTCCCGAACGTGTTAAGAATCTTTGCGGAACTAGACAAACAACTAGGAACAATAATTTGCATAATTGTCGACAAAATCGAAATTTGAATTTAATAGAGGTTTAAAAGCAAAGCTTCCTTGATTGGCTATCATTCATACCAACTCTTCAATTTTCTTATGACTGCAAGAATCTCAGGAATCAAGCGGAGCAAAGGATCAACAAGGCGCTCATCGAGGAGACGTCCAAGCTTTCGTCCTCGTCATTCCACTAGACACCATCACAATCGTGAAACTGCCAGTCGGCGCCGGTCAAGGTAACGTTTGTTGTGGTTTTAAAGCCGTACTGACCGCCTGTTTATTGGTCTAGTACTTATCTTTGCTTATTGATCGTTACTAGATCTAATTAGACTATTGGCCGTGCTAGACCTAACGTTGCTAGATCATGCTTCCATTGCACCACCATTTTATCATTTCTCTCATAGTCAATGTTGTTAATCTATAACACCTTATGAATGTTAAAAACATTTTCGGGGATATTCATAGCCAGACACTGTGTTTATCTAAGTTTTTACATCGATAGTGGTGTTTTCTGTTATTAACAACGTTAGCAACCAAGGCTGGCGATAAGCCAGCCTTGGTTGCTTTGCAACTTCCACGTAGTAGTTTTTATTTTTGAAATTTGGTAGAACGAATTCAAGTTTATTGATTTAGGTCCCGTCCATCGCGGAGACATTTGAGCTCTCGTTCATTCCGTCATTCCAATCGCCATCATCGCGACCGTGGAACTACCAGTAGACGCCAATCTGCTTCAAGGTACGAGCCACTTTATGTTGCTCGTTTTTAAACGTTGTATTTTTTTGAGTTTTTCTCAAGTCTATTCATTGCTTAACATGTTGATTATAGAAACACTAAAGCTTGTTGAGAAATTTTATGACTTGTTCAAAGTTTAATTATTCAGGTCTCCTCCATCCACTCATCGCGATCATGGATCCTCCAGCCATCGCCGAGATCCTCGAGCTTTTTCAAGGTCTTGTTTTCCCATTTAAATCTTGCTTAAGTTATTTTTAGACACTCACATCGCTCAAAAGAACATGCTTCAAAGAAGCGCGCACGAAGATCGTCAAGGAAAGAGCCCAGAGGATCGACAAATCGCCAATCAACTCTTGTTGAAAAACCGCCAAAGTAAGGGTTTTCTCAATTTGTTTGAATAATTAATTTTGAGGCGTTCCTATCGCACACGCCGCCATTCTGCAACAAAACGTCCAAGAGAAACATCCAAAGAAGCACCACAACAGTAGGCTTTAACCATTGACTACGTTGTGCATTAAATATATATTTAGGCAATGCCTTTCCCTTTCATCAAGCACTTCGAATCCTTCAAGGCGACTACCGAATGATGATTGCGAAAGGTGCGGGATTGATCAAGAATCTCGGTAAACCAAGTAAATTTTGACGAACTTTTATTTTTTACTTTAGAAAGAAGTATTGGCGGGCTAGTCGAATGGATACAGCAAGGAGTGGTCTCGCCATTCTACAAATCCTGCTCGAGGTTTGTTTAGCTGTTATCTAAAGCAATTGGTTCCTTTAGTTCTATCTTCTTTGTCACCTCGTTTATTGGCTATGGCTTTCGTACCAATGGAACGATATGCAACGAGCTCGGTAAGGGACGTATCAATAAACGTAAAATTCCAACTTTAGCTCCTTTCTGCTTGTCGAATCCGTCTTTGGCATCATTTTGTTTGTGATCACCGCAATGATGCTCACCTTCCCATATACAGGCGCGTGATTTTGTCAATTTCACCTCTAACTCTGTTTTTTTAGTCTATTACATCTTCAGTGTGATCCTTCATCTTGGACTTTGCACTGGGTCAATGTTCGGCGCTGCCTTCGAATTTTACATGCATGGATTCTGCAATGAACTTACTATGTGAGTAATTATATTATCATCAACAATATCTTTTTAGCTCGCAATGTGCCAACACAGCGTTTTTCCCATGGACTGCACTGAATGCTCAAGCGGTATTTGTTTCATTAACTTTTTGCAAATAGTATTTCTTTAGGTTAAAATTCGTCAAAGTGGCCTCTTCTTCTACCAAGTGATCAATATTTTACAAGGATTTTTCGCGATTGTTGTCGGATTGGTGAGTGTTTCATTTCTGATTTTTTCAATTAATTTTTAGATTGGCCTCTACGTCTACTTGAATAGTCTCACCCGTTTGTGCAAGAGTCGAGAAGGTGACTATCGACTACTTATTGATTTTTAAGTATTTTTTTCTCAGGAGCCACTTTGATTGAGCGAATGAAGGCCCATTTGCGTGAGGGACGAGTGTGCAATAACGTTCGACCGGTGAAAAGCAATACACGATCGCTGGAAAGGGGTGCGCGAAGGTTTGGTACTTTAAACTTCTTTAATAAGCAAATTTGAATTCAGAACCAACGGCACTACAAAAACGCTCATCCAAGCAACAAACCAACAAGTGGTCGTTGAACAAGTTGAAAACGAAGTCAACGAATCGGTACGTCTCTCGTTTAAGCTTAAAGTTTCTCTTTTTAATTTTCAGCCTCATCGACGAATGACACGGACGGCGGTGAGCAACAATGTGCCCCATCAATGGGTGAAAACGGTGAGCCGCTATTCGGAAGTCGGACCGAATGACGACAAATGGACACGAGTTTGCATGGGAAACGAGACAAACGATCGGGTAATTCAAATTTTGGCAAATCTTTTTTGAAGTTTTTAGATTTGCTCGCTTTGCCCCCGACGTCTCGGACAAGATAAAGCTACGGGCGGCAATAAAGGGTGTGTTCTATTTATACCATTATTTTTTTTATCATTTGATGTGTTTAGAAACGTTCCAACTAGTGCCCTCACCTTGGAGTCCAAACAAAATACTAACAAGACAGCGTCGACCAATGTACCGCAATTACCCCAGGTTAACTTTGTTGCCACTCCAAGACACGAGGAGTTCCACATGGCATCTGTCTTTTTGTTTTATTTCAATTCTTCCATTGTTTCAGATCAAGACTACGGAGATGACTACAGGTGACGCATCAAATTCCCGTGCCGTGCTAAAGACTGTAGCTGTTTGTTTGCCTGTGGACAATCACAACATCACCAAGGTTTGCTTTCGTTTTACACTAGCTAATGCTAATAACTCTGGTGGTTTAGATGACGCCACATGTCTCGCCGATGAAATATCTGGAACATCTTGAAGCAAACGGATGCTTATTAGACAAGCCTAGCCAATACGCCTACACGAAGGATGAGAAAAAGTAGAATAAATCAAAGGCCTAGTTCATGTGATCTTGGTAAATATTTCAATGAATGACAACGGGCAACAAATGAGAAACTATTGCGGAGCTGTACAATTTCTCGAATGTTTTATAGAATTGTAGTGTAACAACAAAGAACTTAGTGTTATCGAGGCCAAGCTTGAAATTGCACAAATCTGAGTAAGAATCTTTTTGAATTTTATCCGATTTGTTTAATGGTTATAAAAATCTCTTGCTTTCACTTCATCTATATAACGATTTATCAGGCCAATCGCCAAATATAACAAGCAATAACAACAACATGAACTAGTAACAAAAAAAATGACAACGTGTAAACATTGAAAGAAACAACAATTTGCTCTTACTCCTCCTCCTCATCTTCGTCGACCTGCTTCTTCTTGTTCTTCTTTTTCTTGCTTGAGGAGTCAACGGGTTGCTCTTCTTCTAGCTCCTCTTCCTTGACTTCCTTGGATTTCTTGTCCTTTTTCTTGCCAGATGGTGTTTGCTCTGTATCGATTTCCTCGATGAGCTTCGACTTCTTTGGCTTCACTTCCTCATCATCATCCTTGAATGACCTCTTTTGGCTTTTCTTTGCAGTGTTGTCATAGGAGTCATCATAGGCGTGTGTCTCACTAAATCTCAAAAAATATCAATCGAAAGTCTGGCAAACACTACCTCTTGAAGCTATATCTTTCGTGTTTCTGAGAAGTACCGCCAATCTTTTTGGGTCCACGTTCTTGTTCCGAACGAAGAACATTTTCAAGTGCAGCACGACTTTCAATACCTAAACGAGAGGTTTTTACAATCAACTAAACAAATCTTACCAATTTCGGCTCCTTTCGATTCATCAGCAAGTGCATCAATTCTTGTAGACAAAGAAACTTTAGCCGCCAATTTTCTTGCCATCTAGATTAGAATGTTTCAAAGATCATATAAAACATGATTACCTTTCCCTTAATCTTTGCAGGAGCTTGAGAGATGAGTTGAGCGTGATAGATCAGCCCATATTTTGGCGTATCCTTCTTGGTCTTCAGAGCACGGAATAGAGCCTTTTCAGCGCCAAGAATTTGAACAGTTGAGGCTGGGTACTTCGCCAATGAGACGAGAGATCCGGCGTGAGATATAAGACGAGCTCCAACCAATTCCCCGAGCAATGCGGTCAGATTTGGAGCAAGCGCGCTCATTCGGTTCTTCAAGTATTCGAACAATTGGGTTCTAAATTCGTTGTTATGCTTATGTAGAAGAACATTTTAACAAACCTGTACTCCGTAAATTGAATGACTTGATCACAGAGTTGTTCAATGTGAACGAGATCAATTTCCGAGATGTCGGTACCCATGCTGATTTCCGCTTCTTCCTGAACAAGCACAAATGAATTTAAGAATTTAAAAAAAACAACAAACCTTGACTTTAGTTTCCAAATCTTCTGGCAAAATCGAAGACAAGTCAGAGTTGATCGCGTTTTGTCGCATTCCAATTGTTTTTACCACCTAAGAAGTTCATATTTAAAAGCAACACAAATTGAAACCTTTGCGTAAGCCTGGTGATCCGCGAGAATTTTGCCGAGCTCCGGAAAATGCCAGCCGTACCATTCACGGCAGCGCATCTGATAATTGTTGAGTTCCTTGTCCAAGTCATCGAGAAGACAAACTGCCTAAAGTTAAATTTTAAACCCTAAGTTTGTAAGCCGCATACTTGAACAATCATCGTATCAATCTTCTCGGGATTGAATTTGACTTTATATCTTCCAAGCGAGTGAGCAACGGCAAGGTTCATGGCGCTCAATTCAGTCTTGTGCTCTCCAAGAAGATCGTCGATGTGGGCTCGGATTGACCTCATCAATTCAGAAACAGCATTGTTGTGAACACAAGAGATTTGTAACTTCTCCTAAACCAAAGAAATCTGAAGCTAACTAAGCTCAAACGAACCTTAAGAGCGCTTCCTAGCTTAGCATCTCCAACGGCCAATTTCTCGCCTTCTTCGAGCTTCGAAGTGATCAGTTTTTTCAAAGATTTGCTAATTTTTCCTTCTTGAAGCTCGATGACACTTTTCTGGGCCTCTAAGGTGGTCTTGAACTTCTTGAAAGCCATAAGTTTCAATCTAAATTTCAAGTAAACAGATGTAAACAAAGACAGCTCTTAAAAATCTAATAAATGAACCAGCGTTCACCGCTAAACTGCCTTTAAATAATTTAGGCTCTTTACAGATCATACCACAAAACAACAGCAGCTGGAAAGGCTTGGACCCATTTTTGAGCATACATATTTTAAATCGCTTACCCATCTTGAATGCCCTCCGTCGAGCTGAATTCCTCGGAAAGATCGTCAGCATTCTTGAGCTTCTTTTCATCCAACAACTAACGTTTAAAGTTTTTACAGGTAAAAAGGATGAACCAAACCTTGAAGAGAGAATAACCCGCCGGCGTCTCAAATAGAACCAACATTGTTACCCTAAATTTTGAAATTATATAGTTTTACTAAACAGAACGTTGAAACAAACAAACAAAGTAAGCTAGCCTCTAAGAAGTTGCAAAAAAATAAGAAAAGCAGAGAGTTTGAAGAGAAAATAAGAAAAATTCCCTGGGACTTTTGCCAAAAAAGACCGTAATTTGGGCGCGCCGCGGCACTTGACTCTTTTTTGAATATTTTCGAATTAAAAGTTATTCAGTCCAGCAGCAATGTTTTTTGTCTAGTTTGAAAAACACTTAAATAAAAAAAGTTATGTTGCAAAAAGTTATCAGTTATTTCTTATTTTATTTTGCTAGCCGACTTTGACTGTACACGTTTTTGTTGAATTGCATCGTTGATCTTTCGTTGAGCTGGTCAAAACAGCGGCGGCCAAAATAATGCGTTTGCGAGTCTAAGTTTATTTGTGTTTCTTATTTTCATTGGATGTAGAAAAAAAATTAGCTATCTGCTGAATTTTGGAGTCGTTTAGAACAAATCTGGGATGGGAAAATGCCAAAAAAAAAAAAAGGGTTCAAAAAGAGGTTAGCTAAGCTTTTCGCGAAACCAATTCTGTTTTAAGTGATCCCAAAGTATGCAAAATGTAGGTAATTTTGTTCTGCATCCAATAAGAATTAAAAAAACAGAAATTTAACCGCGGAGGGGCTATTTTTGCCCTGGTGTTGTTTTCGCTCTCGCTCTCGATTTTTCATCTTCTGGCATAATTTTTCAAGTTTAGAATAGAAAATGGCCGATGATGGAGTGAATCCGAAGGCTTACCCCTTGGCTGACACTCAACTCTCGCAGAAGCTGCTCGATCTCGTGCAACAGGCGATGAACTATAAGCAATTGAAGAAGGGCGCAAACGAGGCCACAAAGACGCTCAACCGTGGAATTGCTGAGGTATCTTTGAAGTTTGAGATATTAAATGGGAGTAGTACTTAACTTTAGCTTTCGCTGGGACTTTAGCGTAGTCTGGTTTGGAGAATTGGGCACAAAGGTTAAATAAGGCGTTTTGCTTAAAAGTTTTAATTAGTCTACCCAAAAAGTGTAAATGACCATAATGTAGTGCAAAAGCTTTTACGATGTTTAAAAGTTCTTACTTTTAAACATAGTAACATTAAAGACAACCCTTTGTAGACAGACAAAAGTTGTGGCCTTTCAAAGTAAAAGTATATAAGCAACAAAAATGTTTTTCTATTTTAGGTGATCGTCATGGCTGCAGATGCTGAACCACTCGAGATCATTCTTCATCTGCCACTTCTTTGTGAGGACAAGAACGTGCCATACGTCTTCGTCAAGAGTAAAGCCGCTCTCGGTCGCGCTTGTGGAGTCACTCGCCCAGTCATTGCCTGCTCAATCACGCAAAATGAGGGATCTCAACTCAAATCTCAAATTCTCAAAGTTAAGGAGGATGTCGAAAAACTTTTGATCTAAGTTGTTTTGATTGTTGTTATTGTTCTTGTTATTGTTTTAATTGTTACTCTTTGAATAAAATTCTTTTCCAGAAATAAAGCCAAATCAAAAAGCAAGCGTAATTTGTCATTAGTATTTGGCGATTTGGAGAATCGCGTCTCACCTTTTTGCCTTGGGGGTGCGCTCTTTCTCCTTCTCTAGTCCCACTAGCGTTGAATCGATTTTCTCTGCTCACCCCGTGAAAAGCAGAGGCTTAAGGGAGATGCCGGTCCGTTATCCGGACAAAAATGTTTGCACCCCTTGAAGTACTGCAAATATTTGTCGGTTTACGCGTTTCGTCTTTTCGTCGGAACATCAAATGCCTTAAATATTTTTGGATTGTTTAAAGAATTTTTGCCTGGGGTACAGTTTGCTTCTCATTTCGTACCTCCCTCTTTATTTGTTTGCTATTTACCTAGGTTATGGCTCCGCAACCTAATCTCGCCAAAGGCGACCATGTGACCTGAATGCAGCACCCCGGAACGCGTCGGTTGCTGACGCCTTAAGCTAACGGGCTTTTTTTTGTGTAGGTGTTGCGTCATTTGATGTTAGCCGTTAGGGCAGCTTTAGCAGGCCACGCAAATGCGCCTCTAACCTTTCGTACCAGAACAAAGAAAGAGGAAGCGCAGCACCAAAATTGTACCGCAACCAAATTTTTAATTGCATACAATGTCTACAACAAGTTGTTTTCCTCATTTCCTTTCGCACTGTTGAGCACGAATTGAATTGTGAGTGCGAAAGAGAAGATTGCCCCACCAATTCCAACGGATGCGGTCCTCGCAAATTTCTCCTCTGTTCTCACACATTTTGCCGCAAAATACGAGTTGTGCATCGTTGTGTTGGGACTCCTCTTTCCCCTTTTCTTTGTCATCACACGTGTGCGCGGCTCTCTTCTACTTTACAACAATTGGGACGGGGCTGAATGCTAATCGACCACTCTCTTGCGGGGGTTAACGATTTCAGGCAATTTACGGGCGAAAAGATGCACACAGCGACCAATTTTTCTATTGATACTAAGTGCGTAATTTTCAATCAATTTTCTTTGCTTTTTCTCATTTTTTATGCTTTTGCACTAGGTCACAGCCGTGTGCTGCACAAAGGTAGGTGTGCTTTGTTGAGGGGTTTTTTGCCAACCAATCTCCAGCTCTCTATCACCTATTTTCGTGTGGCCAAAGTGGAGATTAATGTGTGTAAAGAGACCCTCCTTTTCAACTCCTTCTCTTTGTAAACATTGGGAAAAGGGATGGGTTTTTATTCGTCTCAATGAATCAAAACACCTTGATAGAAAAAAACGGAAGTAGTTGTGCAAAAGAAATCTTTCTTTTTTGATTTCTAAATCTTGGAAAAGAATCAGTGACTCATTTCGCACATTCTAATGAGTTTTCTTCCAATAACAGATGTGTGATTGGATCTTTTTGCAACTTTTTCCATTCAAAGTTCATCGCGACCAGCTGCGTTTTCGGGGTGCTGCTTTGCCTCTCCCCGCTAGTGGTCTCATTTTTTATTCTACATATCGACCGGCGGGAAACCCGAGCCGCAATTCAGGAATTCGTGCGTTTAACAGTGCTCATGAATAATTGATTTTCCTTTTTCTCGAGGTAAAAGGATTTTTTTGGTGAAGAAAAGAAAGATTACGTGGGTTTGTGGGCATTGTGGTGCGAATGTCTGACCTAAATGAACTGTCATTGATTATCGATGATTGACTATTTTATTACTTTGATTATTTGAAATCTTTGATTAATGCAAATTGTTGATGTTAATCCAAATTAGCGAATTTTTCCAGAAACTGACCGTCTTCGGGGGGTTTGGCGAGAACGGCGGGATGGCAACCGACCGTGATCCCGGTGTGGCGCCACTCGGGTTCGACCCGCGCAACTTGGAGATCAAAACGAAAAGCATTGAACACACGCTGGTACCCCTTGTCTCACAGGTAGTTCAAGAGTTGTATGGAAATTGATAAATCAGTCCATGAAAATTGAGAAATCAATTTCACCTTTCCGTTTCATCACTCAAATCGGTAACAGAAAACTTTCCATATCTTCAAATCTTCTTTATCCACAAATTCATCCCAAACAGGCTATAAACCAAAATTCAGATCACCACACTCGTCAATTTCAAAGAATCGATTCTATCGGGCGGAAAACCGAAATCCGATCGAGCCATTCGAGCAGCATTAAAAGTAAATCTTAACCAATAAAAATCTGCAACTAATAAAATTTAGGTGGGAAGCGCCGTGGAAGCGGCCATTGAACGTTTTGTGGCTGTCGGGGAGACGATCGCCGACGAGAATCCAGACATTCAACCGGAGATGTACGATGCTTGTCATGAGGCGAGAATGGCAGGTTGGGAAAGATGAGAAAACGTTGTAAACAATTGAAACTGCTCAATTTTAAATCAGAGATCGTTTGATTGATTGTAAAAACACGAAAAAAATCTATTTAGGTGCCTCGATTGCGAATCTTTCGTGCGTGAACACGGACCCACTCGGTGAGGCGGCAGTGCTAGACAAGGTTGCTTTTTACAGCTTCTAACAAACCTAACTAAACTTTTTTTGAACAAAATTACTGGAAACTCGGCTTTCAGGCAGTCTTGGTGCGGGCGTCTCGTCAACTTCTCTCCTCGGTGACTCGGGTGTTGTTGTTGGCCGATCGGGTACTCGTCAAACACATTTTGCGAGCAGAAGACAAGGTAAGGAGATTTTTTAAGGCTACAAAACTTGATCTTCTTTTATTTTCTATACCCTCCTTTAAACCCTTGAAATTCCTAGGTTGCTTACTCATTATCTCGACTCGAATCGACACGGAATTTCACGGAATTCGTTCGAATATTTGCTGAGTTTGGTGGCGAAATGGTCGACTTGGCGCATCGATCCGGTGATCGACAACACGATTTGAAGAGTGAAAAGAGGAGGTTCGTGCAGATGTTTAAATTTCCTTGAGTTAAGCGATTATAATTTGAGAATTATGATTCCTCGCACAGTTCTTTGTGTTTCTCAAGCAAAGAACTTTTCTAAAAGAAACAAATGCTTTGGTTCTACATGATAATAACTCTCTAACTATAGTTAACCAATCAAGCTAGAGACTTGAAGTACCGTAAGCATGGTTTGACCGAGTTTTACGTTTTAGAAAACAAATTCTACTTGCTAAATAGTGGATGTAATGAGAAATCAATGTTTAGGCACAAATTAGGGAGTTTTTGCACAAATTAGGAGGGCTTTGCGTCAAATTTTTTGCGCAACGGTCATTACTTTTTTCTAAATAGACCAATCTTTATGATTTTAATGTTATTTTGTTGTACTTATTGAGATCTGCAAAATAAGATCAAAATCAAAAAGATTGGACCACTTAGAAGAAAGTTATGGCGAGTTGCGGAAAAAAAATTTGCCGCAAAGCCACCTCCCAAATTAACAAAAGGAACTTGTTTCTTAAAATGTGACATCCAGATTTCGCAGACGATGCTGGACCTTAAGTACCGTAAGACAGATAGACGTGAGACAGACATTGACCAAAACATTTCTTACCAAACTTTTTTAGAGCTCAAATGGCTGTCGGTCGGCAATCGTTGGAGCGAAACACGATGCTTTTGTTGACCTCGTCGAAGACTTTGCTGAGACATCCGGAAAGCGATAGCGCACTACAATGCAGAGACGGGGTGTTCATTCAGGTTGGCTATTTCGAATAGATCCTTTCAGCTAAAAATATTGATAGAAAGATTTATTGAGAGAAATTTGAGGAATTGAGTACTTTGTGCTCAAACCTGTAAACACAGCCTTTCTGGTGCACTCATTCATGTTCTTTCACTTACAATCTATAATATTCTATTGTACGCTAATAATCTAAAGTAGTCCGTTCTTATTCCAGACAAACTAGCGTAATCTGACCGCCAGTTTTCATTCGATCAAACCAATTTTTGTATTTTTTTTGACTGAGCCTTGTGATTATTTTAATAAATGATACCAAAATTGGGCTGATTAGATGGAAACTGGCAGGATTACGGAAGCTTTTGAAAATTGGTGTCTTTTGGTGAGTGCCGATCTAAAATTCAAATTTTTAGATGCGGCTGGCGCTTCAATTGTTAGCGATTTGCATCTGCGATGGAGTGATCCCGTTGGACGCGAATCGTTATGTCTCGGCGCCTCTCGAAGAACCGCTCGACATTGGAATCCAATTGACAGCCAACGCAGCCATTAAACAATTGACGGTTTGTTGGATTTGCAAGACTTTAATTTTTAAAAAATGGCAATCTCTAGGAAATGCTGGAAATGGTGAGAATGACGTGTCGAGTGGGCGCTGGGGTGAGGGAGCGGCTGGTGGCTGCGTTGGATGCGCTCTGTGAGATGACACAGGATTTTACCGATTCCGCCTACACACCGCATCACCATCGGGAACAGGTGAGAAAATCGACTATGGTTGGAATTCGTTTTATGGAAAGTGGAGAATTTGGGAAAACTAAAGTAATCCTTCAGATTGAAATCGTTCCTTCAGCTTTTGCCTGTGCTACTCAATTTTTGATCTCATTTAATTCACTCTTTGATTTCTCATTAAAGCAAAATTTCAGTAGAACCGACAAAATTTGAAAGAAAGATAACGGTAGTTTTTCCAAAATTGGCCAAATTGGCTACACTCTAGTGTGAATGTGGTGTTGATTTTCCGTGTATTTTGTACTCTACTAAGCGCACAGCTTCTGGCAAAATGGGGCAACTTGAGGATGCCAGGAAATGCGCGTTTATTAGAGCACAAAGTGCGAGATTTCTTTCGTATTTATCAATTTCCAGATTCTCGACTTCTTGGAGGAGTGTCGATTCGAGATGACGAACCTCATCCAACCCGAGATTGGAACCGATCGAGAGGTGGGGAGAGAAAGAGTTACATAAAGCTTTACTATTAAAAATATAAAGAGATACATAAAGTTATACTTTCAAAATATCCCCTAAACTTTAATTGAATATCTTTGAATTTTGTAGGAAAATTCAAAAAAATGGGTCAGCTATGAAAGCTACGAAGCTGCAGGGCTTTTTTTTCCGTAGATTTTTCGTAGCCGCCCCTTTTGTTTGAAATTCCCCATGAAACTAGAAGATATTCAGCTGAGTGGGCAAAGGGAATACTTTGAAAGTATACAAGTAAAGTAAAGTAAAGTAAAGTAAAGTAAAGTAAAGTAAAGTAAAGTAAAGTTAGAAATGATCACTATTTGATAGAGTGAAATGAATGCTGTATGGGAAATTTTCAGCTTTAAGAACAATAAGAAAATTTGCAGGATGTAATGGGTGATCCGCTTCGAAACGAGGGTTTAGAGGTGACGGTGGAGAGGCTGAGTCGACGTTTAAGAGATCTCGCGAAACAGCTACAAATTGTTGCAATGGATCAGGTTTGAAAATGAAGAAGAAAGAATTTAAGTGCACTAGAAAAGATGTGTTTACATGTGAGCATAAAGTAAACGTCATGGATTAATTCAAGTAAAGTTAAACTTCAATTATCTTTGCCTTTTTAGGTTTCCGAGGTTTTTCGCGCAAACGAGGACCAAGTGCTTTTGTCGTCGATCAAGGTGAGTACTTGGATGTAACTTTTTTGACTCTAAAATCTAAGAAAGATTACGGTAGTTTGTCTCAAATTATTCACCTTTTCGAAACGTCTGGAAATATTGGGTTGAGAATTCGAAATTTTGAATTTCTAGGCTTGTGCCGTCTCTGGAGACATTGATGGAGTTGAGAAATTTATGGACAAATTTCGGGAACACTCTGAGCATATGCAAGAGGTGAATAGAAATTAGCAATTAATAGTGAATAGAAGAAAAAGAATAGAAATTAGCAGGTATCAGTAAGCAATTACTTATAAAACTTTAAACTTTAGACTCTAAAATTATTAGAAAAAAGTTTGAGTTTTCAAATTCTTTCTTCAGGTTTGCCGTCTTTTACATCACATCTCACTCACTGACGCTTTGCACGTGAATACGGGACACTGCGAGAGAAATATGCGATCATTGGCTCCTTTGGTGAGTTTGAATTTTGAGAAATTGTTTAAATTTGAAGCTTTTGATTAGTATAGATTAAGTTATTTGCAATTAGGTTTGCGTATTTTTAATTTTAATTTTAATTTTAGTGTCTACTAGCCGGTCGAACGTTGTGTCTTCATCCGTCGAGTCGAATTGCGAGGGAAAATTTGGAGGTGAGTTTGGATTACGATAGAAAAGAGAAAATCTGGGTTACTGTTGAGAAATAAATATAGATAATAGATAGACTACGGTAGGTTACTGTAAGCGGATATCGTATTGTAACAAAGTTCAGAAGATTCGGTAATGAACGAGAAGCTAAGAAGCTAACAAAGGTTACTTTAGATGGAAGCTAAGGTTACGGTAGATCGAAACTAGATTACTATAGTCTTAAAGATAGACTACGATAACTAATACAAATTACAGGTCTTTTGCGACACGTGGGGCCAATCTGTGAACGATTTGTCGCGTCTAGCGAAAGATGCGGATGCAGCTGCAAGTGGTCGAGTGGCTGCAGAGCGACAGGCTTACATGTCATTGCCTCGTCCTGGGGTCAGTCCAATCGATCATTTATCCTTTTCCTTTTCCACATCTTCTTTAAAACCTCGGTCTTTCGAATCTCAAACTGTTTCTACTACTTTCTATTCATCTTCCGAATCGCTTTCTACTGATTCGTGCAAGGATGAGAAGCAGACTCATTTAACGAGTCCACTAAATGTGAAAGATTACGGTAACATTGTGGTGCAACAAAGTGACACTATTGATCATCATGTGCCAGAGTATTTTGTTAACAAAAGAGTCAACAAAGTAGCGACAGCGGATTTCGAGAGGAGATTGAGCTTTGTCATTGATGATTTGTTGCAAACAGCGTTGTGAATCTGGTGTTTATCTGATGTACTTTGTGCTCTGATAAACGCATTCTTCTAGTGCACTGACATCTTCATTTTTCACTCGAAATTGAGTCATTTCTATGAGAAAATGAGGAAATCAGTGTACTAGAAGGGTTAAGAAATGAATACAAAGTACACGATGAAGAATGATAGATGAAAAATGATATTCAGTGAATGCATTTATTATTTAAAAAGCATTTATTACTTAAAAAGCAGTTATTACTTAAAAAGCATTTATTACTTTTTGTTTTGTTTTACCGATTATCCCAAAAAGTGCATGTGTTGTGTTGGTGCTTTGTAATAATCAAGAAAATGCTCAAACTTTTTTATTTTGCGACTTTTTGCATGAAAATCGTGATTTTTTTTTGTGTTCTATTGTGGTAATAAATGGAGTGTTATGAAGGAAAAAAAGAGACAAGAAAAAGACTAACACGATAAAGCATCAGCATGAGTCTAATCCCTTAATATGTTTTGAATTGGATTGAATTGGATTGAATTGGAGTTTTTTTTTTGCGGCCGATTTCTCAGATGCGCCAAAATCACGGTCATACCCTTTCAACAGATTGCATGCCAAACGTTGCAATCAATTCGAAACCTCTAAGTGTTGTATGGAGAATTGAAGGCTCGATTCTTGCCTACACTTCTGTATGAAAAGTTTTTTGATTGGAGTTTTGGAGGCGATTTTTTTGCGGATCCTCAAATGAGCTCAATCCCAACGAGTCTACTTGCTTTCATTTTTAGCCGTTTTTGAGCTAATATTGTAGTATTATCTGATAGTATTATTGTCGTATTATTATAGTATTATTGTAGTACTATTGTCGTATTATTGTAGTATTATTGTAGTATTATTGTAGTATTATTGTAGTATTATCTGATAGTATTATCTGATAGTATTATTGTAGTATTATTGTAGTATTATTATCTAAGAATAACAAGCAACACTACTGTAGATTTACGCTAGTTAAGTCGATGAGTCGATTTAGAAATTGGAAATTGAGATATGTTAACCGTAGAGCAAAAAGTTTCTTTTCTAACAACTACCCTTTGCCTCAAACTACCGTAATCTTTTCAATTTTAGACAAACTACCGTAATTTTTGTCTCCTTTGTTTTAAACTAATCTATTTATTTTTATATCGTTTCGAAATTCTTTATGAATCTCACAGAATCAGACAAAAATTGGACGAGATTACGGTAGTTTGTCTCAAAACTGAGTCTATTTGCTTTCATTTTTAAAAATATCATTTTTTAAAAAATTTCATTTCAATTCCAAGATTATAGTATTATTGTAGTATTATTGTAGTATTATTGTAGTATTATTGTAGTATTATCTGATAGTATTATTCTGATAGTAATTTCATTTCCATTTCAATTTTTTACAATAAGATTGCAGAGTTGTTCTTTTTTTTGAAAAGAATCTTATCTCTGTTTATCCGTTTTTTTTCTAAAACTATCATTTTCTTTAACTCTGCAATCTTATTGTAAAAAATTGAAATCGAAATGGAATTGAAGATCTTGGAATTGAAATGAAAATGAAGATCTTGGTTGTTTTCTAAAAAACGAGTTTAGAAACACGGGACCACCACGAAACCCTCAAAGCCGATCACTTTGGATGTCGAGGTTTGGGTGAAATTTGAAAACTAAATAATAATTCTTTAGGATCAACAAAAGATGGCCAAAGTTGGATTGGAGATGAAATTGCTGACATCGGAGGTGAGTGGAGGATAATGGGTGAAACTTTCTGGAGTTTATGAAGGTTGATGATAAAATATTTGAATGAAATCGTGGCTTATACGTTTTCTAAATGGGATATTGATGGATGGATTGAGAGAATTTTTGTTTTTGGGATATTGATGGATTGAGAGAATTTTTCTTTTTTAGGTTGACGCTGAAGCCGAGAAATGGGATGAGTATGCCGAGAATGACATTGTGAAAAGGGCAAAGGTAGGGGTAAATTTGAGAGATTTTTGAGCTTTTCATTAATCCGTTTTCTAAAAGACAGAGATTTTCGTAAACTAATGTGGCCGTCAGTTTCCATGAAATTAGCTCAATTTTTGTCTCATTTAATGCAAAATTCGCTTAACTTTGGTATCATTAAATAAAAGAATCAAAAGGCTCTATTAATGATAGAAAAATTGAGCTAATTTGATGAAAACTAGCCGGCAGATTCAAGCTTTTGGCTTTTGCTTTTGAAAAAGGCTTTTGAAAAGCTTTTGCTTTTGAAAATTGATCTCTTTTAGAGATTAGCGAAAACGGATTAGCGAATTTAAAGTAAATTTCTTTAGGCAATGTCTTCAATGGCTTACAATATGTACCTATTCACACGTGGTGATGGACCATTGCGAACGACACACGATCTTTTCACACAGGTTTATTGCATTAGCAATGTTTCACATAGGTTTATTGCATTAGCAACGTTTTACAAAGATTTATTGCATTAGCAAGGCTTCACACAGGTTTTTTTTTGCATTTATAGAGCTAGAGTGACTAGGTAATGCTTACGGATACGCGTAGCTAAATGATTCTTTTAATCTTTCACTATTTTAGGCTGAATTCTTTGCCGAGCAAGCGAACAAAATGTACAAAACGGTGCGCGAGTTCAGCTATGAGGTGAGTTTTTTTTCGATATTAGCTGAGTTTAATTAGAAAAATCTTGAAACTAAAAGAATTTTAAAATAATAGATATAAAAGCTAGCTTAATGACATTAAAAAGTGGACAAATGTTCATTAAAAAAAAAGCTTTTTAAGCCTTTAAGAAAATGTTGAATGTTGGGGTGCCCAGAAATAGCTTAACCCTTTTTTTTCTAGGCTCAGATTTCTGTTTTTTTGTAAACTAAAACGATTCATTTCTTTTTTTAACTGAAAACTCATATCATTTTCTGTAGATATTCAAGATTTCATGACCATAAAATGAATAGAGAATTTTTTATGAACGCTTAAAAATGGCTGCTCAAAAAATCGCCTCCACTCAAATTTGATGCTTCTTTGGCAATGATCTTATAGAAAATATTAAAGAATTTCTATTTTTTTAAAAATTAAATCTATCTAAACATAACATAAACAACCTTTAGAAAGAAAAAGTCTAAAGAAAAAAATGATTTTGTGGGTTTTTTTGTTTAAAAATCCTAAATTTGACGTATTTTTTTGAGAAATTTTCTTCGATTATTTTTAAGAGTTCATAAAAAATTCTCTATTGATTCTATGATAATGAAATCTTGAATATATACAGTAAATGATATGTATTTTCATTTTAAAAAAAGAAATCAATCGTTTTCGTTTATAAATAATAGAAATATGAGCCTAGAAAGGGCTATTAGGATGGGTGGAATGAAGGATGTGAAATGAGACGAAAATGCGACGAAAATTAGTGGATATTGAAAGGATTACTGTAAAAAAAATGATCAGAAAGTACGGTAGTTGTGTTAGGCTTTAAATTTGACTCAATTTAGATAGATTTAGATCGATTTTTTTAGGTACCAGGCAGTGCTGAGAAGAGCGAATTGTCAGCGATTCTGGAGAAGATTCCCGTTCACTGCCAGCAGCTACAAGTACAAGATTTTAGAGCTTAAATCTTTCCTAATATATAAATCTATTAACTGAATATTTTGGATTAACTGAATATTGGATTTATTTTAAAGTTATGCAAATTTTTCAGGTACTAGTGAAGAGTCCGACCGTCGGAAAAACAGCTACTTTCGGGAAGGTTTGTCCTTTTGTCCTCGAAGGGCTTTAATCGAAAATTATCCAAAATAAATAGCAATAACAGAATAGTAATTGCTTTTTTGATATTTAAATGTGATTTCATTATTTATTTTTATCAAAAACCTAAAATTTAGGTTGATTCGGTGATTCAAGAGACGAAAAATTTGATGAATGAGATCGCGAAACTTGTCACAGCTTCGTTCGTTTGCGCCACGAAGGTGAGAGGAAAACTATTTCTAATTTAAATCTAAGGGGTAGCCTAGTTTCCGCAACAGGATCATTTACGCAACTGGGTCATTGGCGCAACTGGGTCATTTGCGCAACTCGACATAACTTTCTTGTAAGTGAACCAATCTTTATGATTTTGGCTTCATTTTGTTGCACTTATTGAGATCTACAAAATGACACCAAACTCATCAAGATTGGCCCATTTAGAAGAAAGCTATGACGAGTTGCGCAAACGACCCAGTTGCGCAAATAACCCTGTTGCGCAAAAAAAAGTTGCGGAAACTAGCCTACCCCAAATCGAATTCTAAACTCTTCTTTACTCTTAAATATTGCTATTTTTAACAAATATATTGCAGATTACGGTAACTAAGTCGCTTTTTAGCAAAGAAAAAGACTTACAGCAAGCCTGTACGACCTTTGATACGGTAGCTGGATCCTTTTTAGCCTTTTAGCCTCATAGTGACTCTAAACAAAGTACAGTAATCCGAGTTTTCGATAGGATATGGTAACTGAATCATTTTTTATCGTTTTCTACACTTAGATCTTCAAAGCAGCAGTGATACAGTAATTTCTTTAGCAATACGAGATGTTTTTAAGAAAAAGCCGGAAATTTACAGTAATCCTACCGTAATCTTACTTAGATACGTGCATTTTTTAGTGCTAAGCTTACAGGCTCAAGTGATCGTAGGGATTAGGGTAGCCAGGGATTACGGTAGCCAGGGATTACGGTAGCCAGAGATTACGGTAGCCAGAGATTACGGTAGCCAGAGATTACGGTAGCCAGAGATTACGGTAGCCAGAGATTACGGTAGCCAGAGATTACGGTAGCCAGAGATTACGGTAGTTAACTCTCTCTGGAGTAAGGGAGATCAAGTGGTGTAATGTCATAGTTGCCCGGTAAGCGAAAGGTCGCGGGTTCGAGCCCCGACAGCGCACAAGTTTTTCAGTTCAGCCCTAGTTCAAACGCGGTAGCCAGGGATTAGGCAATGATTCGTAAAGAAAAGAACAAATCTACAGCAATCCATTCAACTAATACGATCCATTTATTCAATTCCAGTTTGCCGAGAATAACACGTAAGTTTTTCACGAGTTTTTCGATCGAAAAAGAAACACTCATCTGGTGATTTGTGGTAAAAGAAAAGAAATTTCGAAATTAGATATTTATCCAAAAAAAAAAAACAAAAAAAATTCTCACCTTACCCTACAAAATCTTATCCAATAGATTGTAGAGAATTCTTTAAAAAAATTGCTTTAGTTTCTTTTTTTCTCTTAACCCGTTGAAAAGCACCTGCACATTTAAAAAAAAATGAATTTTTAAAAGCGAAAATTGGTGGGGAAAACGGTATTACAGTAGTTTGTTAGCTGAATATCATAAATATCAAAATATTGTTTTTAAGGCAATGGCCAGATAAAACCTTTGACCTACCATTAAGAGGCATTTACGCGTCGGTCTCAAAGGTCCTCCATGGCCTAGGGGATAGAGCGCTCGCCTTGTAGACGACCAATCACCTCAAGTCTCAAGTTCGAGTCCGCGCTGGGCCAAAAAACTTTGTTTTTTTTTCAAAAACAGTAAACGTTCTTGAAATCACTGGAACGCTTTCTGGTCATTTGAAATCACTAGAACGCTTTAAGTGCTGATATTCAGTTAATATTCAGTTAAACAAAGCAGTTTTTTTTACTCTTTTACTGTTTTATTGTTTTACCGTTTTTTCGAACCTATTTTCAAGTGATGTCATTTCGCGAAATGTCAGCCAAATTTTAGTGCTTGTGGAGAAAGCGATAAATGTGATTTTGCCTTTAAAAAAACATTTCCAAATCGTTTTAATCTGTCAATTTTTTTAGTACGAGATCGAGTTCCGAGGCGGCTCGATGCCACGAGTTGTGGGTGACGGCGAGGTGAGTGAAAAAAAAAACCAGAAAAAAAAAGGATTACTTTCTAAAGATTTCTTTTTTTTTGTTCTAAACTACTGTAATCTTTTCGATTTTTTTTAGCTAATCTATTTACTTTTTATGTTACTTTTTATGCGACTTTTACTGCTACTTTTTATGCTACTTTTACTGCTACTTTGAGATTTACTCCTTTAGCTCAAAGCTGACAAAAAAAACGGGGATGTCAATCGGGGAAAAAAATTCTCTTTCGAAAATCGTGGGTATAGCGCGTCCGCTTCTTATCAACTAGTCAATATCCTCTGCATTTCATACTCAATATCCATCGTTAACCATCTTGACGAGAAGAAGATAACTCGAAATTGCCACCACATTAATCAAATTTCAAATTTCGAGGTCCGCGGGAATAAAGCTAAATCTCAGTCGGGTGTTCGTCTCCCGAATGAGATTCAGATTCACATTCTAGCCGGGCGTAAACATAGGGTTAGCGTAAAATCAATTTTTATTCAAAATCCGATCGCAATTGTTCAAGACCGATTAACGAGATCAGTCACGCAAATTCCTAAAGAAAAACAACAACAACAACAACAACAACAACAACAACAACAACAACAACAACAACAACAACAACAGCTACAGCTACAGCTACAGCTACAACAGCTACAACTATTGGGTTGGGGAGAATGAGTCGGCGCCGAAATTTAAAGAAACTTTTTGCACCCATAAAACCTTCTTTAAATACACGTTTTGTTTCATCAAAATGGTCGACTATTTCTTTACAAAATGGCTTTTGAGAGATTCCACAAAGCTTTTCTTTTTTGGGATTTTATGGATTCCCAAACACAGCTAATCAAAATGACAAAAAGTCCGACTCATTGCTTGAACAGTTTCTTCCACATAAACCTCCTTTGGTGTTTATATAAAAAAGATAGAGCACACTCAATTACATAAGTTACCAAATTTTCACGAAGATCCCTCCAACCGTTTACTCTAGATGACAGTTTATCGATTTTGTGAAAAAAATGATCCTTTGTTGAGATCCTTTGTTGAGTTGAGGCGCTGTTTGAGTTCTCTTTTAAATATTATTTTGTAGAGAATTAGTTACCCTTCTACGGATATCAAACGCATATCATTTGACAAAGTCTGCTATAAGTTTTAGAAATTTCTTTCATTTTCGGCGCCGACTCATTCTCCCCAACCCAATACAAACAACAACAACAACAACAAACAACATTAAAACAAAACAATATAAACATTAAAAACAACATAAATGAAAAGAAAATCATAAAAAGTTATTAGATTTGATAAAATTAGATAAGATTACAGTAGTTTAAAGTACAAGAAAAGAGAAAAGAGAGATGAAAAGATGAATGAGAAAGGAAAAGGAGTTTATTTCTCTAATTTCCTAATTAGAAAAGAACTAGAAAAAGAACTAGAACAAGAACTAGAACTAGAACTAGAACAAGAACTAGAGCTAGAGCTAGAGCTAGAGCTAGAGATTGGAGCTAGAACTAGAACTAGAACTAGAACTAGAGCTAGAACAAGAACTAAAACTAGAACAAGAACTAGAACTAGAACTAGAACTAGAACTAGCACTAGAACTAGAACTAGAACTAGAACTAAAACTAGAACTAGAACAAGAACTAAAACTAGAACTAGAACTAGAACTAGAACTAGAACTAGAACTAGAACTAGAACAAGAACTAAAACTAGAACAAGAACTAGAACTAGAACTAGAACTAGAACTAGCACTAGAACTAGAACTAGAACTAGAACTAAAACTAGAACTAGAACAAGAACTAAAACTAGAACTAGAACTAGAACTAGAACTAGAACTAGAACTAGAACTAGAACAAGAACTAAAACTAGAACAAGAACTAGAACTAGAACTAGAACTAGAACTAGCACTAGAACTAGAACTAGAACTAGAACTAAAACTAGAACTAGAACAAGAACTAGAACAAGAACTAAAAATTCGACTTAAACACGATCCAGAATTTAAATTGTTTCTAGACCGGCTACTATTGTTTTGAGCCTAAATCTAGCTCCTTAGGCTTGACGCAGACACTTTTACACACTGCTAAGATTACACACTGCTTAGACTGCTAAGTTTTACGATTTACAATAGTTTTACGAGCACTATAAACATTTGACAATTTGGTATTCTTTAAAAAAGTTAAAAATAACTCGTTTTCCTTTCCGATAACCTTTAAACCATTCAACTTTTCACCTTTCAAACTATTTTGAGTGTCTTTTTGTGTGTGTTTTTTTTAACCATTTCAATGATTAGATTCGAGGAGAATCCCCTGTGTACAAGGTAAAATTCGAGCAATGATTTCACTCAACATTTATTTCAGTTGAAAGAAAAAAATGAAAAAAATGAAAAAATGAAAGCACGAGGAGTGTGCGTGTTGTAAAAATGGATGAGAATTTACCTGAATATCCGTTGAAATTTTGTCGTTAACCTGTTGCTGTTCAGCGTTTGTACTTTGTGCTCATTCGGACTCGATTGGGGTTCTTGATTTTTCTTGTTAGATGAGAGAAAGATAAGGAATTCAGAGGGGTGATGCTGATGCTTTTACAAAGTACAAAGTACAGAGTACAATGTACAGAGTACGAATGAGTACAATATACAGAGTACGAATGAGCACAAAGTACAAAGTAAGAGAGGTTGAATGAATCATTCCCATTTCCAGATGCGTACCTCTCGCGAGTCGACAATGTGGCGACGCACCCCGTCGATTCGACGCACCGCTCCACCATCGAACTCCGGCTCAAACTTCAATCTTTAGGTCAGCATTTAAGATTTAAAATCGATTTAAGTGCCTTTAAAGGCACTTGAATCGATTTGGGTGCTTTAAAGGCACTTGAATCGATTTGGGTGCCTTTAAAGGCACTTGAATCGATTTTAAATTCCTTCAGCTAAAGTGACGTCACTTTTTTTGAATTTTTGAATAACTTTAGACACTTTAGACAAGTTTTTCATGGGTTTAATGAAACAGAAATTTCATCAAACTTGATTTGGATCTTGATCTTGATCAAAACAAGAGCTTGATCTTGATTAAAACTCCCATCAAACACAAGAAATTCCGGCATTGCATGGATGAAGTTGATTCCGCGAGAACTTTTGTGAAACAAAATCCATTCAAAGCCTAGAAGTACTTAAAAGAACAGTACTTAAAATAGAGAAAATTTTGCGATTATCTAATGCATCAGCTTTTTAGAACCTATTTTAGCACAAACAATCACAAGGAAAGGCCAACCGGGTGCAGTGGCCTGAGGAAGATCATTCATAGACCATTCGTAGATCATTCATAGATCATTCGACGCAGAATTTCACGCTGAATCCGAATCTGCTTTCTGTTTTTGCTAAACAGTACTCTGTCAAAAGTTATAAGCGATTAAAGTTTTGTAACGAAATGAAAAATCCCCTTGAGTTTATAAGGAGATTTTTCAGAGGCTTTAATAAGCAGTGATGGCCGAGTGGCAGTCGCTTAGAGTACGGGGCAAACCCTCTCTGGTTCGAGTCCGCGGTTTGACTTTCTTTCCACAGAAAGTGTCAAATCGCGGAATGGAACCGCGAGAGGGTTGCCCTTGTATTCTAGCCAACTGCCACTGCCAACTACCACCACTGCTTTCAAAAACCTCTGGGAAATCCGCTTGTAAACTCGAGGGATGTTTTTCGAGGCCCTTTTTTCAGCAATTCTATACAAAACTTTGCATGCGCATAACTTTTGACAGAGTGCTGTTTAGCAAAAATCGAAAGCCGATTTGGATTCAGCGTGAAATTCTGCGTCGAATGATCTGTCATTTCGCTCATGTCATTTGGCCACCACACCCGATTGACCGTCTTTTGTGAGACTAGGTCACGGTTTACGGTTATACGGTTCCAATACGGTTCTTTTTTTGGATCTAATACGGTTCCAATACGGTTCCAATACGGTTCCAATATGGTTCCAATACGGTTCAAATCTAATAATTCAATTATTAGATTTGAAATTTGAATTAACAGTTTGAATGAACATTTTGCCCCTTTTTCTATTGGCAATCTAACTTTGAGCTCAAATTTCTTGGCGTTCCGCTGTTCAATTTCAATAGTTTTTGGTAGCAATCGATAGAGAAAGACTTGGTGAATCTAATGATACGAAGAAGATTGAAATTGGACAGCTCAACACCGAGATATTTAAGCTCAAAGTTATGGCAATGGGAAAAGGGGCGGGTGGGGCGCACATCGGCGTGAAATAAGGCAAAAATGCGTTTTCTATCGGATTTTTCTAGGAGTACCTTTTTTAGATGTGGAAAATTGAGCTGATTCCGAATCTGAAGGAATTTTCCAAATCCCTCTAACAGAAATTTAGTTTTAGCAGTTTTTTTGGTCATTTTGTATGGGGAAATTTTGTGGTACCCTGCAGTTTGGGGCTCGTAACTCGACAATCAGGGTCTAGAACCAAAAACGAAGAGATAACTTTTATTCTAGAGACTCTTATGAACATTTTGACGCAAAAATCATCAAATTTGCTCAACTCTACGAAAAGTTATAACATTTTCTCGTATCAAATGTCTGATCACCCAAAAAACCATTCTTTGTCTGTTTTGACGGACTCTAACGGACTCTAACGGACTGTAAACAAAAAAAAAACGAATCTAAAGTATCTAAATCATTTGATTTACTATTAAATTTATCAAAAAAAAAACGTTTTAGCCAAATAATCCAAGGATAACTTCATGGTAAGTTGAGCATGTGAAAAATGAAAAAATTTTGTAGACTGTGATGTTGAAATCTTTCTTCAAAAACCCACTAACTGTTAAATGCATGAAATTTATCGCAAAAGAAATCACTGATCAATGTTGCATGTTAGTCAACTCTAACAAAATTCGGTACTTGTCGGTTAGACATTCACAAAGACTCATCTCTTGTAACACGCTCGGGACAATTCGGTTCACTGGTGGACGAAGGCTGTCTGGGCCTTGGGACAATTCGGTCCGGTGGACGAAGACCGTCTGGCGCCTGGGACAATTCAGTCCACCGGTGGACGAAGGCCGTCTGGGCTCTGCGACAATTCGGTCCACCGGTGGACGAAGGCTATCTAGGCCCTGCGACAATTCGGTCCGGTGGACGAAGGCTATCTAGGCCCTGCAACAATTCGGTCCGGTGGATGAAGGCTGTCTGGGCCCTGGGACAATTCGGTCTGGTGAACGAAGACCGTCTGGCCCCTGGGATTCCGAATATGGTTTCAGTTTTTGCTATGCGCTACCCTATCAAAAGTTATACGAGTTTAAAGTTTACGGTAATGAAATACTTTTTGCTATGCGCTACCCTATCGCTGCCATGTACTACCGTACTCTCTCTAATAGTAGTGCCGCAAATTGCTTCTAGACCGGCTACTATTGTTTTGAGCCTAAATCTAGCTCCTTAGGCTTGACGCAGACACTTTTACACACTAGACATTAGACTGCTAAGATTTACGATTTACAGTAGTTCGCTTTACAGTACCACGCCGAGCCGAGTTGATGACTATTTTACTTTTTTTACGAGTAATTTCTTGGAGTCGACTTGTAAATAATAGAACAAAATGTTCTTGAATTGGTGGATTCGTTTTTAACGTGTTCGGGACGATTCGGTCCACCGGTGGACGAAGGCTGTCAGGGCCCTGGGACAATTCGGTCCACCGGTGGACCAAAAAGAGTCGATATCTTTTTGAGGCAGCAAGATTTTCAAAATCTGATTAGAGATTCGGATTCAGCATGAAACTTTACAAATAGGAGGTGTATTTCGGGACTAATAGCTTTGCGAGAAACCCCTCGTCCACTGGAGTAACGTCCACTGGAGTAACGTCCACTGGAGTAGCGTCCACTGGAGTAACGCCTTGTCGCGACTGTGTTAAGCATCGACTCTCGTCCGACCTGATCGACTGATCACTTCAAACGAGCACTCGACTTCATTGAACATAATCACTCCTCAAAAGTTGTCAGCTTTTTATTTTAGCGAGTTGAGTCTCTGTGGGATGTCGACAAGTACCAAAAATTCGATTGTTTTATAAATTTTGTATTAATTTGTTACCTTTCAGATGTTGTTCACCACATTCACCAAATTGCCCACAAATAAACTACCAAAAAGCTCTATGCTCAGGTAAATTGAGCTAATATTGATCTTGGTTTTGATCTAGTTAAATATTTGGGTTGGTTTGGCTAAGTCAAAGCCAAGCTTTACCTGAGAAAAGCCAGAGCTAGCCCTAGATTTGGCCTGGCATCTAGCTGGCCTGGCATCTAGCTGGCCTGGCATCTAGCTGGCCTGGCATCTAGCTGGCCTGGCATCTAGCTGGCCTGGTATCTAGCTGGCCTGGTATCTAGCTGGCCTGGCATCTAGCTGGCCTGGTATCTAGCATCTGGTTCTGGTTCTGGTTCTGGTTCTGCTGTTTTTGCCAGGTTCTGGGACTGATTGGATTACAAACCCATGGACTGAAGGCTCATATTAAATTCCTGAACCTGACTGGAGATTGGCCAGACTCTAGCCTGACGTGGCTGATGTGAAGGCTTACCTGATGTGGCCAAGCTTTAACTCTAGCCTGACATGGCTTATGTGGCCAGTAGCTGGGCCAAGCTTGTTCCAAGGCCAGGCTTAACCTGAGCCATAAGAAGTATCCTAATATGCCAAAGCCACAATAAGTCCTAGCTTTTGCTTGGCTCTGGCTTGAGTAACCAGATCTGAATCCAGGTTTGATCTGAATCAGATCTGAACCAGATCTAAACCAGATCTGAATCCAGTCTTTGATCTGAAGCCAGTGCTTGCTCAGGCTCCGGTCTGGTTTACCTGGATTGAAGACCATAGATTGAATTAGCTTTTCGTCTACTAGGTATTGTCCTTTTCGATGTGAGACAATCTTTATCAAAGAGTACTTTTCTGGTGGAAACACAGCAATTTCCAGGCTGTCATTCCCCCATTCCACATGCAATTCCTCAAGCTCATTCGCCGAATCCTCATCTCTGTTGTGCGAATTTCACCTCACCCGCTCACTCGCTATGGCATCTCAACAATCCGAGTTACTCTTTGCATGACATCGAGAGAGTCCCATCACCACCCAGGTACGAATAACATTTACAGAAATAATCCAAAAACCTTCTAGAGGTTTACTAGAAAGTTTTACTAAGCAGTTTTACTAAACAGCTTTACTAAACAGCTTTACTTAATAGTTTTACTAAACAGCTTTACTAAACAGCTTCATTCTTAAACCATAGTTCGACACGCTTCTTTTATTGTTTGAAGTTTGAATAACAAACATGGATTCGAACCAGCCACTTCTCGCTATTGTTATCAGCCAAAAGCTCTATCAATAAGTTACCAATACCAAGAAGTTATCAATACCAATACCAATACCAATAGTTTGTGTGACTATCCAATGCTAGGAGGAGGCCTTTCCCTTCCTCTATCACTCAAAAACAATTTCTCTTTTAGAACCTACACTGACGCTTTATCCGTGCAAATGCCAGCTAGTGGTTTAAACAGAAATACGTCAAATGGAAAGAAGAAAAGCGAGCGAAAATACATGGGATTATTCGGGAGTATGTTGCAAAGAAGAGAAGAAAGAGAAATCGAGAGGAAACACTCGGAACAGAATAAGATTTAGATAGAAAGATCGAGAAACATGAGCTTGAGGTATTTAGATCTGTAAACAACGCTTTTCGGTGAAATCTTTAGCTTTTAATCTATAGTAGCTGAGAATTGTTAGCTTTTAATATATAGTAGCTGAGAATCATCAGCTTATAAGCTATAGTAGCTGAGAATCTTTAG